CCCCATTGTTTGAGAAAAATGAATGAATCATCTGCTGTTTAAAGTGCACTGCAGGAAGTACATAATGAATGAATCATCTGCTGTTTAAAGTGCACTGTAGGAAGTACATAATGAATGAATCATCTGCTGTTTAAAGTCCACTGCAGGAAGTACATAATGAATGAATCATCTGCTGTTTAAAGTGCACTGCAGGAAGTACATAATGAATGAATCATCTGCTGTTTCAAGTGCACTGCAGGAAGTACATATTGAATTAATCATCTGCTGTTTAAAGTGCACTGCAGGAAGTACATAAATAACAGCACACACAAAGATTTTAAGGAGATGAAACTTAACATTAGTTTGTAAATGCAGCTGCGTACTTGACCTATTTTAAACTTTGGTGAGGCTGTACATCTGGCCAGAAGCTGTAAATGCAGTGAATATGATGAATGATAAGCCACTAATGCAAGCATCTGAAAGTCTGTATCCACAGGAGGATTAACACCTTTCTCCACACAGACAGATGAAGGGAGAGTCGTCCTCAATATAGCATGTCTCCTCACAGACAGATCTAGGACCTCAATATAACTTAGTGTCTCCACAAAGACAGCTCTAGGGAGAGTGGTCGGACTACAGTTGATATTTTAACAACGGAAATAGCTTCTTCTTTAATTAGTGTAACCCATTACAGACATGCCACTGCAAATGGCTTACATCAATTTAAAAAAATTAAAATGGTTTGCCCACCCATAAATTCTGCTTGCTTGACTCATAGCAAGCATTGACTAGACAGAAAAATGGAACTCGGCAGGAATTTAATGGAAATGCTAACCATTGAAGCTAGTACCAGGTGCTGGCATCTGACATGCTCACCATTGAAGCTAGAAACAGGCGCTGACATCTGACATGCCTACCATTGAAACTAGAACCAGGTTCTGACATCTGACATGCTCACCATTGAAGCTAGAACCATGTGTTGACACCTGACATGCTCACCATTGATGGTGATTTAAGTGTTTGAGTCTTGCAATAGAAACTAATCAATATTTCTATCACTTGATTATTGAACAAAAGAATGACACAACTTTGGTGGAAACAATGACAAACTGACCACAAACTCATTAATCTTACCAGCATTTTGATATCAAAGAACAGATAATAGTCATTCCGTTAAGTATGGTTCCCTATTTAAAGTCTGCTGCTCTGTGTCTTTTAGTTGGAATGCCTTCCTGTTAACTTAATGAGCTGATCTTATAAACTTTGAAGTAATTTTAACTCTTGTCGTCACTGAAAGTTTGTTTATTTCTCCAACAGACCGAGGAGGCGGCGGCGCACCAGGCTCATCAAACAAGACCAGTAATCAGGTAAAATCGACTTCAAATTCTTAAGGTCATAAATTAAGCAGGATTTATTATCATAAATTGTTTTAAAATTTGCACATGTCCATTTATGCATTAGAAAATAAGACTGAAATCTGGTGAACATAAAAATTAGCAGATGATGTTTTCAACAAGTAATTCATCAAACTTCAATGTGTGTGGTCTTTCTGAAAATATAATTCGCTGGAAGGCTCAGATGAACTGTCAATCATATTTATTCTATTCTTAATAAGGTAAGTTTTGTTTTCTTACAGATGCTGTCTGGCCGTCCGCCTGAAACTGTTTTGGAAGAGCAAAATCCTAGAACTGCTTTAAGTCCAAGCCATAGCAGGTAAACCCGGCTATCTGATTTAAATATATAATTCGACCTATCTAATTATATAATTTTACCTATCTTAATAAATAATTTGACCTAATTAAATATATAATTTGACCTAACTAAATATATAATTTGACCTCTCTAAATATATAATTTGACCTAACTTGATATATAATTTGACCTATCTAAATATGACCTAATTAAATATATAATTTGACCTAATTAAATATATAATTTTACCTAACTAAAAATATAATTTGACCTATCTAAATATACAATTTGACCTAACTAGATAAATAATTTGACCTATCTAAATATATAATTTGACCTGACTAAATATATAATTTTACCCAACTAATGACTTATATATTTTTTTCTTTGAACTTTATGAACATTTTAGAATGAGAGTTATCGTTAACTCAAAACTGACAATATGCTTTCATTCTATTTCACAAGTGTAATCAGCTTTGAAATTATTTTTCAATTATTTCTTTATCTTTAGTTGACTAACCAATTTCATTTGCTTCCATTTTTTAGCCCCCAGCTCTCCGCTGGTTATAATCCTAACGGGGGTGTTGCAAGTCGGAGACAGAACCGAGGACATGCATATCCAGCCACCCTCACAACCAGAAACAGCAGTGACCTAGATTCAAGTGATGCCCCCAACACACTTCAACTGGCAGCAAACTTGAGGCTTGATGGCAGCCATGACAGCGGGTTTAGCTCTGCCAACAACATGTACAACGTCAACTCCCAAAGGACATCACACTATGAAAGTACGGACCAACTCAGATCACCGGCCACTTCTGAGCCAGGGATAATCTACCCAGGCCAGTCTCAAATGCTGCATGAAGGTGGACCCCAGTATGGCGGAATCAAACGTACAGAGAATGAACCTTTTCTTCGTGCCACACCCAATCCAAATGCATCTAATTTACACTATGGGAGCTTGGACAGAAAACGAAGAGATTATCGGCAAGACTTCCATCGTGATGTTTCGCCCGTCAGATACAAATCTAGGCACTTTCAAGACAACATGGATTACAACGTCAATAGATCTGACTCAACTGCTTCAGCTGGTTTCAGAGACATCTCTAACCCTGCAGGAGTTGTGGTTGAGGTGCCCGTACACCATGAAAGGGGTCATTCTGTACCTCCATCTTCAGCTAAACAGGCCTGGGGAGAAGCTGCTGGGCTCTCTGTTACACTTCCAAGTCCAGAGCATGATCGACCTAAACCTCCACCGGGGGGTCTCAGCACATCTTCATTCAGCTCAGAGCATTGCTACAGCCCTCGCATGTACGAAGGTGTAGTCAACAGGACTTACCAAGATATTGATGTGACTCACGTACATAGCAAAGACAGGCAAGATCGTGGCCTTGCTGGAGCTCACCACACCTCATCACAGCCAGTGTTCCACCGGACTGAGAGAAGCATTTCACCTCTTAGGGCTCAACAACAAAACCACCCTCATCACTTTCACCAGCCACAAGGCGCCCCGCCACCATATCAGCAGCAGAGACCGCCGCCACCTACAGGGTTTGATCGGCAACCAGCAGCCCAACAACAACACAATCATCATTACTCGGCAGCGGTTTCATCTCCAACCAATTCTCAGCCTTCAAGCTATTTCTCTGAATCTCCACGCACCATCCCCATACAACGTATTGAGACACCACCATCATCGGCATCACCAACAGCTCAGTACGCTCAAGGAGGCTTCCAGGGTGGGTCGCCCGCCTCTTCTGGGCCCTCGTCACCACGAGGCCCCGCCACCCATGCCACCAGTGCCCTCGTCACCGTCACCAGACTACAACCCCACACAGAGGTGACCAAACCTTATGAGATATCAGACTTCTACCGTTACAGTGAGAAGTTGAGGAGGCAGCGCATCATAGACCAATACCAACGGCAACTCATTGGAGTGGATAGAATGTCAAGGTCATCATCACCCCTCTCTGTGGATTCAGAAGGACATTCCTCCCGGTCAGGGTCTCAACACTCGGCATCATCTGGCCAAGCTAACCAGTCTCCGGCCCATCAGCCGGTTCCATTCTCAAGTTCCTCCAGTCTGAAACAGACGGCCGGCAGACCTCCCCAGCCTTACAGTAGGTCCGTGTCGGCACCACTCAGTTCCATGCAGCCCACATACTACACCCAAACTATAATATCTCCTTCAAAGCACGCCCAGCCACTATCCCCTACTTCTCATTTAGACCCTTCTTTGGCTTACCCTGAAGGGCAGATGACCTCATCATCATCATCATCGTATACTGTAAAAACACATGGGCCAAACGTGCAGTACGCCATGCAGTCATCCTCCACATACAAGATTCAGCAGGTTCATTCGTCAGCCAAACATTCGATGTATCAGCCACCTCAACCCATGACATGTAAACCTGTTAGAACCCCTCCTACAAACTTGAATGAAAATCAGCGGCGGTGATCTCTGTTTTTGTGACAATACTTGGGCAACTGTTTTGGTGCTTTCTGTGTGTGCAAATTTTTGGCAGTTTTGTTGCCAAATGCCTGATAGACAGGAAGCCATGTGTCAAATATGTGTACCGTTGACAGGAAGCTATGTGTCAAATAAAGTGTGTACCATTGACAGGAAGCTGTGTCAAATATAATGTGTACCATTGACAGGAAGCTGTGTCAAATATAATGTGTACCACTGACAGGAAGATACCTGTCAAATATACTGTGCACCACGGCTTCTGTATCAGAAATGGTTTATATACAGCTGCAAGCTGGTTACCTTTCAACAAAAATGTGTTAAAAATTTAACACAATGCTTCCGAAGAGTGGTAAACTATTGAAGCTTTTTATTTGTGAAACAAGTTAATTGTTTGATTATTCACCAAGTCTTCATCTGGGTTCATCCTGCCAGGCTGACCTGCTTGCCATGCATCCTGCCAGGCTGACCTGCTTGCCATGCATCCTGCCAGGCTGACCTGCTAAGTTGAACAAAGTATTAAGTATTTATTTATTTATTGATGCTACAATGTAATTCATGGTCATGGGGAGATAATCTAGGGGGAGGTGATACAGTTCTACATTTCCAGGAACAACATATTACATACATACTTGCCTTGCTAAAGCAAAATGCTGTTGTCACATTTTTTTAAAAATTGTATTTTTATCTCTTCAGGCAGCTGCTGTTTCTAAATGTAAAAAAAATATGTTTTATAAGCTTTAGTGATTGGTTTTATGTCAAAGCTAAAAATAGTGAAGGATCTTAGAAAAGTTGACAGGTTACAATGGTATTGATTGTTTCAGAAAATATTTGCATGAAGCCATATTTATTTGTTATCACTTAAAATAGCACTTTGATGTGAATGTAAAAATATTCCTGAGTTTTTTAAATTTTAATAATTTTTGTGTGTTGACATATGCTTGTTTTTTTTACTCAGTCTATGCATTCAAGTATTTTTAGTTGCTGTTTTCCTCTGTTTGAGCTGGTTATCAATATTTAACAAAATGAAAAGGCTATCTTTATGTAAAGTTAAGGCAATTAATGACCAACTATCTGAACAGTTTTACTCTGCCAGCAAAACTGTTTTAGTCTGCCAGCAAAACTGTTTTACTCTGCTAAATGAAGTGAACAAATTTGTCTTTTTGCCTACTGCTCACTATTTCCCAAAGTTTGTTTGCTTTCAAAATAATGAACATCAAGATATGAATTGAGACAAAGACTAGAGCAATCATTAAGGATTAACAGAAAGGTGACCACTTTAATCAAGTTTTTTTTAAGATATCATGTTGTCCTTCATCTAATTGATGTAGCTCCAAGACTCACTGCATTTTCTTTTCGCAATTTTGAGGCCACAATAGCTGTGTATTTCTTAACTTTTGTTACTTTTACTTTTTGAAAAATTTTAAAAATGTCTCCACAAATTTGGCTACTGTTATAAAATAATTTGTTTAAAAATGAGATGATTTATTTGATGAATTCCTATGACTTAAAATGAAATAAACTAGTTTCCAATAAAAGTTACTCAGCACTAATCAGTTTCAAACAAAGTTGAACTAAGCTCAGTTCTTGGTAAGTGGGATGTGAAAACACATGCTGTGGTTCTCAAAATGACTTTCGAAGGAGCTGCCTCTTTTGGCTCTTGTTATAAATTATATTTTTATGTAGACAAAACTTCCCTCGGAAATGGCAGGCTTTGAAAATGTGTGAGTTAATGAGATGGCTCTAATGCTACAAATTTTGAGTGCATATCGAATGTTGTGTGACCCCAATGGATGTTAGCCTGCCAACTTTAAACATACTAACGGGCAGCAAGTGTTAATTTTATCATTTGATCTTATTTTGTTATACACAATTGTGTTATTTTATTAGACAGTGGATAGGAAAGTATTTAAATCTATTTATCACACCTTGATAAAATAATTTTGTTTAAAATATTTAAGTGGATCAAAGTTTTAATAATTTATCTAAAGGAGAGATGGCCCAAATCCTATTTAATATTTATAGCTATGTCATGTGACTCAGTTTTGTAGGGCTTTTTTAAATTGAATCTTTATTTATTATTAATAAAACAATCCTGACATTTTAAATCTTTTTGTTGATAAATGAGCACATTCCTTACTCTATAAAGACAACCAAAGCTATTTAAATGGTGTAATGTAATGCTTTTGCTATTTCTATCAAGATTGCCTTTGATCTGGTCCAATGTTACTCATTTATTATTTTTTGGTCATTTTAGGCCGGAGGATTTGATCTGATCTGAGACAATCACACAAATACTAAAAAATGTACTTAATGACATGACAGAGTACTTTAGACAATCTTTATTCTTGAAATACTTTTGACAGTTATCATTTGAGGAATAAATAATTTAAAAAAAGACTCATTCATTGAATTATTCTCAGGGTAAAATAAAATTTGTGTTCTATTTTCTCAACCATTCAATTATTGACTAGCTTAACACAGTCAGCAGTTTGAAGTAATTATAAGTAGATGCATTTGTTTTAATCATTTCATGAAGAGTGAATATGAGCAGTGAGTCTTTAATTAAAATTCTACATTGCGAGTTAAACATAAATTTTACATAACATTATAAAAGACAGTCATTTTCAATGTTTACTTCTGAGACTAAATGGTAGTTCAAATAAGCTCCTCACTAGAAAACAGTTTATGTTGTAAAAACACTGGCATACTATTTAATTATCTGAGGTTAAGATTGTAGGCATAAGCTGTGTATTTTATCAGTATTCTGTTGTTTGAGATTGTGTATTGTTTTCTTTGAGCACCTATTGTTTTCTTTCATGCTTTGGAAAAACAAAAATTTTTTATTGAAACCTGTTGCAAGATATTCTTGTGCAATATCAACACTAAATAAATGAAAATATATTTAAAAGAAACATGTTTTAGTTTGCTTTCATATAAACATTGTTTCATGTTAACCATCCATTTATCATCTTAGTACAATAACATTTTTACATGTTAAACATCCACTGATCATCTTAGTACCGGTACAATAAATACAAAATTATGCAACAATTGAAGGAACTCAAAAACATTTCCAAGCAAGTTTCTAAGTCAACTGCTGGTGTAGCACCATATGGTAAAGACTTAAATAGTAAACAATTTTTTCTATGGTTAAAATTTAACACAGTTAATAAATTTTAATGACAGTCTCAGATCATCAAAGAAGACAAATTTTTACAGTCAATCTCAGAGACCATATCCAAGCAAAAAATAACAATTATTCTTGATCTTACTAGCCAGGTGTATAAATAGATATAGTATAGTACCAGTAATTAATTAATGTGTAGAATGGGGAAAAATGCCCCCTCCCCCCCCTTTCTGAGTGTTGTTTGATAATAACTTTCATACACCCAATTTCTTGTAAATAAATTTGTGGAAGATGAAGGAATATTTGTACAAAGTACATACAACTACACAAGTTCATGTTTTGTAATATCACTGAGCATAAAATGCCTTTCAATGGACAAAATAAAATATTCATTGCTTATTCAATTTGTTTAAATTCTTTGAGGCATTCAATCATCATTTTCAAAGTCACAATTATTATTTTAAAGAACCATCCACTAAATTATACGAAACTGGCATTCGCACCCTAAGCCTATTTATGTATATTCTGGAATGTTATGTGCTTAAAAGTTTATATACATAGTTTTAGTTTAAACAATTATATACCTCTAGAAAAAGGCAACCTTTGCCAAAAATATAGTGGACCAATAATTTCTACAACACTGAATCTGAGGAATGTATAGCACTTGAACTCTATGAACTCACAGTGATAATAAAATGAGCTACCGTACAAGTAGTTGATTAATTTCAACCTAGAAGTGGAAGGCGATTTTGACACAAAAGTAAATTCAATGTTATTTTACTATCAAAGCCATTGAGATACTTCATATAAAATATAAAAAATTACGTACAGCTATCTTGTCCGGCCCCTTGCAATTAAAAATATACATCAGATCAAATGATTAAGTTGGTATAACAATAAAACCTTGTCCCAATAGTATTAAATTAATGATATTGTTGTTGAGATTGATGTTCGACGGCACAACCCTCAGTATTGACTTTAGTTGTGTTAACATTAATAATTGTTTGAATCAGCTGACCATCTTCGATGAAATCAGCAATTACAATATTGAGCGGCTGAACACAGGATTTTGGGGAATTTTCAACCCAGGATTGTAGTTCTGGTGTCCAAGGTTTGATCCATCTTTCTAAAGAGCTCAAAAGACGTTTGGCGACAGTCGATGCACAGGGTGTCAGGATACCTACAAGAGAATGGAGATATAAATAATTAGAGATATGGTAATTTTGTCCATGGTTAAATTAGTTCTCGTCAGTCATTGGAGCTAGTATGTTGAGTTCTCGTATTAGTTTGAAATAGACAGTGGCAGTCAGTGGATGAGTCTCATCTTAATATTAGTGTCAGTGTAGTGTGAATTTATTTGACTTTTTGTGAACGTGTAGATGCTGATATAGAATGCAATACTACAGTTCATTATATTTGGTGTAAATAAAGAACTGTAATTTTGTATTAATAATTCATTTGGTGCCAATTTGGTCATCATCAAGTGTAGCTAGCAAGCTGAAAGTTTCAAGTGAGACCAAACGATACCCTCGATAGAGTTGTGACCCTAGACAACGTATGAAAACCCTTCATTAGTCATACCTACTGATGGGGTTCATAACATTTGGTAACCAGAGAAAGGTCCTATCATTTGGGGGCTGGTCCTAACATTTGTGGGCTTGTCCAAACCTATATCCAGCCAAACAGATCATAAGACCACTGATGCTACTCACAAATCATGACATTCCATACACAGGTAAAAACACACTCACAAATCATGACATTTCATACACACGTAAAAACACTCACAAATCATGACATTCCATACACAGGTAAAACACACCCACAAATCATAAAATTCCATACACAGGTAAAAACACACCCACAAATCATAACATTCCATACACAGGTAAAAACACACAAATCATGACATTCCATACACAAGTAAAAACACACAAATCATAACATTCCATACACAAGTAAAAACACTCAAATCATAACATTCCATACACAGGTAAAAACACACAAATCATGACATTCCATACACAGGTAAAAACACACAAATCATAACATTCCATACACAGGTAAAAACACACCCAAAAATCATAAAATTCCATACACAGGTAAAAACACACTCACAAATCATAAAATTCCATACACAGGTAAAAACACACAAATCATGACATTCCATACACAGCCCAAAACACGCTTACAAACCTGTTATAAGGAGTTCATAAAAGACTACAACAAAGCCATAGCACTTTTTATTTTTAAGGAGAAATTTTTGTTGCAAATAAAATATATCTGAAATATGTTACCTTTTTAACACCTATAACAGTACCGTAACACAACATATTCACCATGACCTAGAACTGATGTACTTAAATATAAACTTTATCCAGGACATTCAGTTCTGTTTGCTTGTTATAGTTAGTGGTTTCTTGATTACTATAATTGTCAACAAACCTTGGCAAACAAAAAAAATTCCATTGTGCCTTTCAGAAAACTGTTTGTTTAAAAATTCTTTGCAGATTTTTTTTTCAGGGGTGTTTGGCCACGGAGATTCAATGCTGCCATAAGAGAACATTTCCTTAACACAGATGGCTGCTGGATCTTCATAAATTATAATAACCTGTGAGGGGAAGACACGGAAACAGTTCAGCATTGGTGAAAACATTTAATTTAAAATGTTATATTTTTGTAAATTTCTCTTAAAGTCTAAAAAAATTCTCCACTGTTAATGATTTGTTCCATGAGTGTGTGTTTTGTTTTGTGTTTTGTAATATTAGATTTGTATGTGTGCATATTTGGTGTAGAGATTTATTGTGCAGCTGTTGCCAGGTGATTTGGATTGGTTATGTTTTTGGGCATGAGAGATAATGGTGCTTGTTGTTATAGATAAGCAGTTAGTATGTAGAGTGAGAGCTGAAAGAAGAAGGTACTGAGAGCATTTTTGTGAATAAAGAATTATATGAAGTATTTAACCTGGTGTTGATGATTTTGTGATGAGAGTTATTATCCCTAGACTACAACTAAGCCATAGAACTGTCTGTACAAACAGGAGTTCATAACATCCACCATATTAATTATATCAGCATATTCTAATACAGTGGTCCCCAAATGGTGGTTCACGAACCGGCATCAGTCCACCAGCTTTAAGTTAATGGTCTCCACAACATGAATTTTTATGGTCAAATTAAGAAAATATAATAAATAAACCTGGCACTGGTCCCTGGTTCATTTTCAAAACTTGTTCACCGGTCCGCCAAACTTAAAATTTGGGAAACGCTTTTCCAATAGATTAGTGCTTTTCAACAGGGGCTTCATGACCACCAGCCAGGGGTTTGCCGGGTGTAAATATAAAAATAACTGCATAAATCACCACGGATCAAATCTGGCAGTACCGCACTGTGCTGTAATCAGTTGTTGTTTAGCCACTTAATTACTGTTTCCTTTATTGTCCTAATGAGAGTTTAATGTTTGAATCAATTTTCATAACACTGTTGACTTTGCGCAACCATTGACGGATTTATTTAGCAGAGAAAATTAGAGGATGCCACAGCTGATGACCAAACGATTAACTCAGGAGCAGTCAACTCAAGCTACAGAAGGTACCGCATCATGTGAGCCGAACGTGCCAAAAACTGATGTTGCTCATTGGAGTACAGTAATAATTACTTGGCTAATACCACACTGCCCTTTACTGCTCCGTTATTTCTGCAGGGAAAGGCTTGCCAATAGTACAATGGCACCAGCTAAGTTAAAGAGAAACTTATCAATTAAACATCCAGATGTAGCGCACAATAATGTGGTGTACTTCGAGCTCTAAAAAAACCCCCCACTACATTGGAGAAAATATTCAAGATAAGTGAAAAAGCTCAAAAAGCAAGTTATGCTGTCGCCTAGAATGTTTGGAAAGAAAATAAAATTGAACATCCGCGCCAAAACTGTAATCTTGCCTGCATGCTGAAAAATTGTGAAAATTATGTTTGGCGAGAGTGCCATATCTGTTATTCAATAAGATTCCAGTGACATTAAAAGTCATGTTCTAGTGATGATAATGACACGACAATTCTTTGCTCTGCAGGATGATGAAAGCACTGATATCAGAGGTAAATCACAGCTTATTGGATTTTTATTTTTTATTGACAATGGCGCTATTGCTGAATGATTTTTTCTGTTGTAAGGAACCAGAAACAACAAAAGGACAAGAAATATTTGCGGTCCTGTGCACTCTAGCAATACAGAAGAACTGCATTGGCATTTTTTACTGATGGCACCCTGCCATGATGAGAAATGTCAAAGGTTTTGTCTCGCTGGTGTGATAAGTGAACCCAGCTGTCATGTTCAAGCACTGTTTCATACACAAAGAAGGACTAGTTGTTAAAACAGCGGGAGCTGAGTTAAAGTCTGTTCTGGATATGGTGGTGACAATCCTTATATTATATGAAAATGAGACCTCTGAAATGTCGCCAGTTCACCAAACTTTGTGAAAGCATGTTAGTGAACTATGACACACTCATCCTTCACACGAATGTAAGATAGCTGTCTTGTGGAAAAATGTTATATAGTTTCTACGAGCCAAGAGAGGAGATGCTGATGTTTTGTTCTCGTAAAGACTTGAAGGATTTTGAAGAAATCATGCGCAGCGAGTGTTGGTGAGCCAAACTAGCTTATCTGGTTGATATATTTCATGAAATGAACATTTTGAACAATGCAGAAATGAAAACGCCTTGACTTCAATTGACAGAATAAACAGATTTCTGAAGAAATTGTTGATATAGAAGATCTTGCAACTGCTGGATATTGGGAAATGTTTCCCAGTGTTGTTCAAAGAAATCACCAAGAAATTCTTCCATTGATTTTGAACAATTTGGATGCTCTTTTGAACAATCTCTGCAGTTATTTCCAATCAACATCTGTTGACCAGTATGACTGGGTAAGAAACCCGTTTGTGGAATTTGAACAGTGCCAATGGACAGTTTATTTTGAATGAAGAGTAGGAGCTCTTTAGAGTTGTGAGTGACACAATCCTGAAGCTTAAACATGCAGAATTGGACTTGGATGCATTTTGATGACTAGTTGAAAATGAGTATCCAGTCTGACTGAGAAAGCTTTGCGAATTTTGTTGCAGTTTTCAATTTCATACATATGCAAGTTTGGATTTTCTGCTATGACCACCATCAAACACAAAAAACGAGAATGAATTTTTTCTGTCCTAGATGAAATTGAGGTGTCATTCTTGAACATTCTGCCACAAATTCAACTGCTTTATAGAAATCACCAAGCAAAAGTTTTGCAGTGAAATGTTCGCAAAGGCAGACTACGGGTAGCAATAAAGCAACTTAGAAACAAATAATAGCCATTCTGGCCACACAAGTTTATATTTTATTTTGGCTACACTTACAGTGTTACACACATCCACCTGTATCAATCAGTGTTTTTTTTGTACATAACTAAGTTTAGGAAAATGATGTTTCTGTCCATTTGGAATAGAACAAATCCTTGTGTCACTGAATGGGTTTCCACTAACAATCCAAACACTCAAAAGGGTTCCATTTCAATAAAAAGCTTGAATAGGTACTCATAGAAATTGTACTGTTATATGCAAAAACTATTTTTTAGAAACTACTTTGGCACGCTGATTTTTGCGCCTATAGCGCTTACTGCGTCTTACCACACCCCTGGTAACCTCTGAGTGCAACACTGGAACAATAAATCAAATTGGTTAACCTTAAAGTAATCTAAATTGGTGAAAATATAGTTAATTGTATAACCTGTTGGCCGTTGCTCCATAACTTCTTTAAATTAAGAGTTGTCTGTCTCAAATCATGTCGTGGACACACTTTTGATCCAAACCCTGACAGAAGGTCTGCAATGAGTTGTTGATGATTTTTTACAGACATGCCATAGAAGTGATTTAAGTGAAGTATCACGACTTCGTGTGGGTGCTCTTTCAAAAATGTGGCTATAGTTTCTATTACTTCACTCATCTAAAAACAAAAATATTTCCATAATTAATTAATAGACATGGCAGTAATGTCAACATGCAAGGGTCAATATATATCTTTACAGGTACACAATTCATATGTGGCTTTACAGGTACACAATTCATATGTGGCTTTACAGTTCCACATTTCATAGGTGGCTTTACAGGTACACAAAAGAGCAACATTAGGTCACAGTCTGCAACAACTATCCCCTGCGCGGTGCCAGAGATTATTCCGAGCACAGATTGGTCTAGCAAGCCACCTACAAGCTCACCTTAACCCACCCTCCCACTAACCAGATGACTAGATGGTCCTCGTCGATTTCGATGGACGAACAACAACAACTCTATTTCATATGTGGCTTTGCACATACACAATTCATATGTGGCTTTACAGGTACACAATTCATACGTGGCTTTCCTTTGAGGCAACTGTCACAATATTTTCTAAAATATACTTTTTGTTTGTTGATTCTTGTTGCTTAAAAACATTTTGATTTCAAACTTATGTTATTCTCTGTTTCTAATTCTTACTTTATAAAGATAATAAACATTTTAAATTTCAACCCAGCAATTCCTGAAGTGCGTTTAACGTCAACATCTTGAAATGTCTTGAAAGCGAAGGGAAATCATTTCATAGAGTTATTTGGTAACCAGATATGGGACAATACTATTTTATAACCACACACAAACCACCAAAGATACCCAGCCTGGGATGTTCGCATGCCCAGGGGTTGTGAGATGGCATTTCAGGAGGTAAGGGATTTGAAAACAGAGTAGATAAAAGCTTTTAAGCGTTTACTCGATGCAAATCTAAACACAGCGTCATAGATAGCCACATGAAACTTTCATCACAGATAATAACACTCAAGACAAATCGCGCACAATAAAACACAACACACAGTGCACAATAATTACATGTCAATACCCATACTTCACACTTAGCATTTACAAAGCATTCCAAGATGTTAAAAGAAAACATACTTCAGGGCTTTATCTGAAATTAATAACGTTAAAGAAGAAAAAGAAAAATATGTTAAGTTTTTTTGAGCCTCAGCAGGTTGACAGGTAAAGAAATCTCTTTACAAATTCTAAGGCTGGTCTCACACGCAGACACTCAAAACAGTAAATTAAAACAACAAACAAACATGAAAACTTAAATATTTTCAGGTCAATAATAAAAGCTTGAATTCTTTCTTGTACATATAATATAAGTAGAATAAAACCAACCTTTTTACCATATAGACAATGCACCAAGTATACATCATCTGAATCTGTTGGCTTTGCGATTCTGAGATCAAAATAACGTATCCCAGCTTGAAGTTGTTGGTAGATGTCTAAAGACTGACATTTAGACCATCGCTGAATCACAACTTTGACTATGGCCCCAATACATGGAATAGAACACACAAATTTTAAGGCAGGTGAGTTTGTGTCAGGGGATATAGATCCTTTTCTGTCAAGATGGAAAGTTCCAGAATCATGTGTGCCTGGAAATAGAAAATAAAAAAAAAATGAAATTACAAACAAGTCACATTTAATTATTAATATACTTGTATCACATCAGAGTAGTAGAAAGTTCAAAGAGTACAGTACATAATAATACAAAATGATTTTTGGTATTACTATAACATAAGGCCTAGACACAGTTTTATGATGAATTATTGCCTGTATTCAATTTCCAAAACAGCTTCACCAATTTTGTCATTGTCAGGTATTCTGACAATGCTAAAATATAATTTACCAACTTTAAATAATGTTATACATTCTACTTGCTACCCAAGAGCATTAAAATCAAATTTTAGCAGTGATAAGATTACCAGACTTGTCTATCAGGCAATGGTAAAAGTCTCTGGAGAATCTACTTGGAGTCATATTCATATCTCACATAGATGTTACAGCAAATTTTTAGGAAAGACATTTTTAGACAGAAAATAATTTGACTGAATGGAAATTTGAAATAAAATAATTGAAAAAACCAACAAAAATAAATTTTATTAAAAATTTAACATTTTCTCCATTTCTTACTCGCAAATCCCCTTAAATTAAAAAAATAAAATAAATAAATCTCTGTAAAAACAAACAAGAAAATGTAATTCCAAACAAACTTTCATTCTAACAAATTTCAGTTTGAACAAATTTCTCTCAAATTCTTACACATTTTTAGTGACATTTCTTTCATTTTCATACAAACTTCTGGATAAGATATTTGCTTTTGATAGATGGGGAGGGCCTACTGATTCTAATGAATATGAAAATACATGCCTATGTTTGGAAAAAAATACCTATGTCTGTGTTCAATATACAAAATATTAATTAATATTAGCCTAATAATTATAGTATATAGTCCTACTTTAACTTACTATAATAAGTAAAAGTCTGTAGTAGATTCAATAGGCCTAAACTAATAGACTATTATTATTTTTTAAATCATGTTGAATTGCATTTACTTTAAGAACAGTAGGCCTACAGGTGGTTAAGTCATATGCATACAGTAGTAAACATAATACAGTTAGTTAGTAACTATTCTATTACTATTAAATTATAACTAACTTGCTGACCTGGGATGGCTAGTTCGGTCAGTGGTATTTTGTGCCAACTGTTAGGGGACATGGACATCCAATCCTCAGTATTTAGGTTGTTGTTAAAACAGTTTTTTAGAGTCATATTGCTACATGTAAGATGATGTACGCGTAGGCCTTTTACTTTAAATCAAAGTAATAAGTTAATACCGTAGTTATTAATATTAATAGGCATTCTTTAAGAATAAGAGTAAGAGCCTTGTTCTACCTCTACAATTCTACATGCAAGCCTAGTTGTAGCCGTTGTTTAAAAAAAAATAATTTAATGTTTTAATTAGTTGCACGTAGCTTTATCATTTCAGATTTACTTAAGTTACGTCTTGCAGGTTCTAGCAGAAAACTTTACGTTACAACTTGTACTTGTAAAACTTTTAACACCAAAGAAATAAATCGGACAATCAGGTAATCAGGAAGTCTGTCTGGTGAAACTATTTACACAATTATTAGCAAGTCTAAGTCATTTAACAGGTAAAAAAAAAAAAGTATTCCAAGTTCCCTTAAAAGAAGAAAAAAGCTGTTGTCAATAGTTAGGCTAAAATAGGCAATTCGCACCACGTCATTTACCCCTTTTTAAAAAGCTATTTCCTTTCATTTGTATACCACGACCAATGCATGGATTATAGTGTCTATAGCAGTGGTTCTTAACCGGTGCTCCGCGGAGCACCAGTGGTGCTCCGCGAGGTAGTTGCAAGTGCTCCGCGAAATTATGAAACTCAAAATTTAATGTTCACCCACTTACTCTATCTGATTGAGCTGAACAAATGCTTATAATAGGTAGTCCAAAAGGGAAAAAACCGACAAATTGACAGCCTTTCGGAAAAAAAAGTTATTTTTTGGAAAAGTCGTTTGTTGGAGAAAAAGAAAGTAGATATCTTTCCTTCTCTTAAACTTAATGATAACACTTCCGACGAAATTATTTCAGCAGTAACAGAGCATTTAACTTTATTAGAAGAAAAGATTGAATTTTATTTTCCATCAATAAACGTAGAAACATATGACTGGATACGTAATCCCTTTGCCACGGTTGATACATCAAATAGTAAGTTGTCATACCAAGAAGAAGAAGAATTAATCAACCTATCATCGGATCGTACACTTAAAATAAAATTTTCCGAAATGGTTCTGGAGGAATTTTGGATCTTTGTGCAAGAAGAATACTCAGCTCTCTCCATGAAGGCACTTAAAATCTTGTTGCAATTTTCAACATCATATTTGTGTGAACTCGGTTTCTCGATAGTCACCAACATAAAAACTAAAAAACGAGCAACACTTACTAATTTGGATGAAGAATTGAGGGTAGCTATTTCTAAAATTAGGCCTAATATCACTGAAATTTGTAAAAACCGTCCAGCTCAGGTTTCACATTAAATCTTTTTTATTTTTCTGAATTAAATTTTGAACAATGTTATTTTTTTACTTATTAAATTTATGTTTATTAAAAATTTGTTTGTCATGTTATAATTTTAAACTCTTATGTTATAATGTTTTATTTTCAATAAAAGTCGTCCGTATGTGTATTTGTTGTTTTTTTTTACTCCTTGATTTTGGTGCTCCCCAAATTTTTGTCATGATCAAAAGTGCTCCCCGACTTCAAAAGGTTAAGAACCACTGGTCTATAGACTAGAATTTCACCCCCACCCCTCGCCCTATTCTGTTACTAGCTCTACTTATAGTCTTTTAATTAAAATATGTAAATGTAGGTCGTTGTCATGGGCCATAAATAAATTTCAAATTTAAATGTCTACATGAACGTACCTAAGACTAATGTTCAGATAAGCTTATTCGGCAAATAAAAAAGAATGGATTAAATAAGTTTTATAAAAAAAAAATAATTTAATATCGCATATATTATGTATTGTTATCCATTCAATACTAATAGTAACGGGCACATTTTATAAATATTTTTATACCGGTAGCTAATATGCCTTGGCCTTGACATCTGCATATTCATATATACCATACAATAGATTATGACATTAAGGGGGAAATATATATTTTTTGTTTTGTTTTTGTTTTTTTTAACGTAGTGGTCCAGAGGTTATTCACAGTCCAGGGGTGACGACGACTGAACACCTCTAAGTCAGAGTCCCGCACCACCGAGACAACGCAACGGAAGTAACGCAATAACATGATTACTTGTTGCCGTTAATGGATATGAGGTCTGGGTGGCGGTTAAAACCCATGCCGATGATTTTAACTAAGCGTCCCTGAGAAAGCCGCTCCTAGGCGACCGTTTCATCCCAGCTCTCGTCCCGACCGGACAACTCCCTGGACGGTGGGCGGGGAGAGGTAACGCAACACCTTCCCCCGGAAAGGAAGCAAAGCCGTTCTGACCCAAGGAGAGTGTACCGCGAACGCTTTAAACGCAGCGTTTTCAATCGACCGGACGTCCCCCAGGCTAGGGGGTGGTTCCCGGCGTGCTTCCGCACGGTCTGGTGGCGGGGAGACACGGCGTCGGCCCGCGTGGGTGTGTGCCGGGGGGGGGGAGGTATTATGAGGTAACGCTCGACGACCCACCGACGCCATCTCCAATGTAACGTTAGTCACAGTTGGCTGGGAATAATAATTTAATTAATTTCTTGCGGTAGATCATTAGTACCGCATTTATCGGCTGGGAATAGAGTCTGTTAAATTTTAAACAAATGACAGATTCTATATGGCTCATAATTTTGCTACGGTACATTCTTTTTTAAACCACCTAAAGGCTGGAAATAACGTTGGCGTTAATCTCAGCCGACTATAATGTATTACGTCTCAATCCCTTTTTTAAACTAGTGCTTGTTCACATTGAAAAGCTCAGTAAGTTTTACATTTAGTCCCACCTGAACGGCCAATTTCTTCCTTGGTTTTGTTTTGACTTTCTATATTAATATATTTTTTATTTATTTATGTGATTTATGTTGACTTTCCTTCCCAAAAGCTGAACTGTTCTTAAACATTTTCTCCACAGCTGTCTTGTAGTAAACTGTGTAACACATCTTACATCTACCCCAAAAAGGCACATTCAAAGCCTGCTACAACAAGGCATATCCTACATGGAACACAGCAGGGCACAATTCTAAGCCTGCTACAGGTCACATCCTGTAACTGACATAACACAGAGCACATCTTCCACCGATTACAGCAGTTCACATCCTGTAACTGACATAACAGAGCACATCTTCCACCGACTACAGCAGGTCACATCCTGTAACTGACATAACAGAGCACATCTTCCACTGACTACAGCAGGTCACATCCTGTAACTGACATAACAGAGCACATCTTCCACCGACTACAGCAGGTCACATCCTGTAACTGACATAACAGAGCACATCTTCCACCGACTACAGCAGGTCACATCCTGTAACTGACATAACAGAGCACATCTTCCACCGACTACTGCAAGGAACATCCAAAACCTACCCAAAGGGGGGGGGGGGACATCCTAACACAAACAACAGCAGGGCACATCCTGCAACTGCTGATACCACAGCAGGGCACAGCATAACCTATCATACACCTACAACAGCAGGGCACATCATACACCTACCACTTTAGAGCACATCATAGCCCCTACCACAGCACAACACATGCCTGCAACAGAAGCGTAGAGCCAAAACCACTAATTGAGCCTTGGTGCCACCAAAGGGAAAGGAAACCAAAGGAATTTCATGGCTGTCTTGAAACAAAGAGTTTAAAGGCCATTACAACACTGAAACTACCAGGTCCAAATCATGTATTGTACACTCCAGTTTTATGTCAATGCTATAAATGATATTTGTAACAATGTTGCTGAACATTTTAATCTTCATTAATGATCTTAATTGTACCCTTACATAAAATCTTATCTGAACCATCACATAAAATCTTATCTGAGCCATCACACAAAATCTTATCTGAACGAACCATCACACAGAAAATTATATCTGAACCATCACATAAAATCTTATCTGAACCATCACATAATCTTATCTTTACCATCACATAAAATCATATCTGAACCATCACACATAAAATCTTATCTGAACCATCACATAAAATCAATACCATCACATAAAATCAATACCATCACATAAAATCATATCTGTACCATCACATAAAATCTTATCTGAACCGTCACATAAAACTTATCTGTCCCATCACATAAAATCTTATCTGAGCCATCACATAAAATCTTATCTGAAACATCGCATAAAATCTTATCTGTACCATCACAAAATCTTATCTTTACCATCACATAAAATCATATCTGAACCATCACAAAATCTTATCTGAACCATCACATAAAATCTTATCTGTACCATCATATAAAATCGTATCTGTACCATCACATAAAATCGTATCTGTGCCATCATATAAAATCTTATCGTACCATCACATAAAATCTTATCTGTACCATCACATAAAATCTTATCTGAACCATCACATAAAATCTTATCTGTACATCACAAAATCTTATCTGTACCATCACATAAAATCTTATCTGAACCATCACATAAAATCTTATCTGTACCATCACAAAATCTTATATGTACCATCACATAAAATCTTATCTGAACCATCACATAAAATCTTATCTGTACCATCACAAAATCTTATCTGTACCATCACATAAAATCTTATCTGTACCATCACATAAAATCTTATCTGAACCATCACATAAAATCTTATCTGTACCATCACAAAATCTTATATGTACCATCACATAAAATCTTATCTGTACCATCACATAAAATCTTATCTGTACCATCACATAAAATCTTATCTGAACCATCACATAAAATCTTATTTGAACCATCACATAAAATAATTCACAAAATATTTAATTAATGCTCAAAGATTTTATTTGGAAATATTCATTTAAATAATTGGACAAAAACCCTAAACAGAAAAGGCAAAAAATTACAATCCTTTTACCTCAGCTGATTTTTTAAAAATTAATGGATAAATAATAATGAAAACTTAATATTTTTAAAAAATAAAATTGTCCCAATTGCTACTCATAATATTAAGTTCCCAATGCATTGAATATTTTAGCCACACAAGGAAAGCATTTATGTCAGGTCCTAACAAATTCAAAGGAATGAATCAAATTGAATAAACATAATTTTGCTTGAATAATAAATAATCCATTCAAATCCAACACAACATCTGTATCTTTAATAATTCAACACAGCCCTAAATTATCCAGATGTTAAATTGCACACATAAAATAGGAAAATGAACTGGTAAGTTAAAAATATTAAATATCCAAGAAAGTTTTTCAGTGTCATAAATTATGAATGTAATCTAGTAATTAGAACAAAGGCAAGGCGAAGTGAGGTCCAAAATTTTATGCTGTCAGAATTATGTTCTGGAAAGGAATGTTCTTGTAAATTTTTACCTTCCATTACAAAGACCCCCCACCCCCCACACACACTTCTCTTTCATGTCATGACCTGGTTCCCAATAACACAGTATCTTGAGTTAACCATCCACTTTCAGCTCCACCAAGAAGTATTGTTTAACCTCTGTGACAGACACAAATGTTTGGTGGTGTTGAAACTACTGTCTTCAGTCATGAATGTTAACTGGTCAAATTGAGCCAAAACACGTTTAGGGGTTGGATGAGAATGTCATTGCTCCCCCCCACCCGCCAGTCAATTTTGACCATCCTACTTGGATTCATGGAATAAGTAAAACTGGCTCATGAAAATATTGCTCTCAAGTTTTAAACTTTAATTAAGGCTTTCCCGAAGTTAGACCCAGTAAAAAGTTCTATGAACGCCTGTGGCATGTTTTCAAATCCTTCAGTAATATGTTCTTTGGCCTTGATCTTTCCCTGTGAAAATAAATAAAATTAGCTCTGATAGTTGTCATTTAAAAGAAGAAAAAAAAATTGATTTGAATTAAAATTGAATATTTTTAAAAAATTAATAAAAATATTCTTTATCTCAAAATATTTTTTAAGTACAAAGATATTAGTCGATAATGGTATCGGCGAAATACAATAATGGTATTGGTTAAATACAAATCATTTATATTTCTCAACATAGCATAATTTTAAAGAGTTAAAAAAACAAAACAATAGAATCACCTCTTTTAGAAGCGTGATCAAGTCCTTTCTTGCTCTAGAAAAATGCAGCAAATTCTCAGGTCTTAGGACAATGAAGCCTTGAATTTTGAGTTGTTTATATAAGATATCTCTGTGCCAGCTGATGCCTGTAGATTATCATATTGAGATAATTTCATCATTTGAACACAAGTAATCATAACTTTGATGTAATCTCAACCATTTTACAACTTAGTGCAGCAATAAAGCAACACAAAATATTCTTTTATTAATATTAAAGGCCTGCCTTATTTAATGACTGCTTAAATTTATGTTGTTCTAAAATATTTAAAGATGTAAGGTCAGACATAAAATGATTGATCTGGAGATGGCCATGTATTATTTATCACATGGTTACAACATTAATTGATGACACTGTGCAGCGGCGTCACTAGGTTTGGTGTTCACTGTTGTGGCAGACTCATGGTGTCACCCAACTTCCCTGAAAAGCACTGAGGAATTCTTACCTAATCATTAAACAACTGCTTGTATAGTCTATAATTTAAGTCCTAAAGCAACAAAGTACTTAAGAAGTACCCGTGTTTAAAAGATCCAACAAAATTAATTTTTATTAAAACATAAAAATTTTACAGTTAAAACATGACCTTCTTGGCCTCAAGAGATTGAAGAATGGCAATCACTTCATATTCACCTTATGGCTTTCAGTTGACAAAGTGCAAACCCAGAAAGCAAAGTAAATCGCATATATTTCATTATAAATAACATGTTTCAAAATCTCATCTCACATGAAGCCACAGACACACAGGTCATGAGAGAGGAGTGGAGAGATTCTAGGAAGTCCCATTCAGCTATGAACGTCAAAATTTTGAATATTTATCAATCTTTGGCTTTGTTAAGGTTACTGTCTGTTACTTTCAGGTGTCTTGGCAGCCTTGGTAATTTAATTAAAAGTTCCATTTTAGATAACTTTTCATAGAAACTGGTAGGTTTGGGAATGGACAGCAGTACCGTAACTCTACAAGAGTCGCCTATAGACTTGAACAGCCTCAAGATATCTGCTACTTTCTTGATGGCTCTTGATCTGATCTGGATTTCAAAATGGAAAGGCTCCCTAAGCTTAAACATTACCTTCTTGTTTTCTTCATGTTAAGTGACGTCCAGTGTCTCTTGATTGGGTCCACTGGACCCTGTTCTGGGGGCACCCAGCTCTGGTGGCAAACCTGCACTTGTGGCAAACCTGCACTGGTGGCACCTATCCTTGTTTTGGCTGGACCCTGTTCTGGCTGGACACTGCTCTGGGGGCACCCAGCTCTGGTGATGCCATGATGTTGTATTCAATTATTGTGTTATGAAACCAACTTGAGTGAACTCTATATAATTTGCATTTTACATTTGGTGTTGACCCCTTGTGAGGCTGTCACCCGGTGCAGTCCACACACTCTAGTGATGCCACTGACACTGAGATTCTATAGATAATAATATAATATTAATCAAACCTGACTCTTCTCTGTTACTGTTGATTGCTATCCGCCCACAAACAAGCACACGTCCTTTCTCTCTCAGCTTACGATAAACAGCATCTGAAATGCCACCACCAACCTGAAATGTTTCAAATAGTAAATTCAATTTGCCATTTCCTATCTATACCGTAACATTTTAGCAGGCATGCTAAAAAGTAACTACAAGGTTGTTTGAGCCAACCTCATCCTCTTAGCCTTAGAGTACATTTGTAATCATAATTCTATTGTCATATCCTACATATGTATTCATAGCTTTAATCTGTAGTAATATCTTACATATGTATTCATAGCTTATATCTGTAGTCATAGTTTAAATCTTTTGTCATAATTTACATATGTAATCATAGCTTACATCCAGGGACAGCCCTAGCAATTTTGTGCCCCGAGGCAGACTTACATTTTGGCACTCCTTCCTCCTACAAAATTTCAGGTTGATATTAACCATCATCAATTTAAAAAGTTGCTGCTGCAGAAGACGGAAGCCTTAAACAGCAGTCTGCTAAGATTAAGAGACCATAAATAGCGGTCTGCTAAGACTAAGAGGACTTAAATAGCAGTCTCCTAAGACTAAGAGACCATAAATAGCGGTCTGCTAAGACTAAGAGGCCTTAAATAGCAGTCTGCTAAGACTAAGAGGCCTTAAATAACAGTCTGCTAAGACTAAGAGGCCGTAAATAACAGTCTGCTAAGACTAAGAGGCCTTAAAAAACAGTCTTAATCTGTCAGCTAAGGATGAACAATCAAACATGATTAGCATTTAGATTTTATATTGAAGAACATTAAAAACTGATCTGTTTAAAATTAAAATGGGTTATTTAAAGAGGTGTAACTCCAACAATTTTTTTCAGACTTTCCGCCTTAAGTTACAATAAAATTTTTAATTTTGTATATTATTCTACAAGCACATTTTTCTTGCTTTTGGGATGACAAATGCACTCGTAATATCTCCATAACAAAGATGTGAGCTTTTCCTGAGTCATAGACGCTCATAGATATGTTTAAACAATTTTAGTTTAGCAAACCTTCTTTCTTCAGTTGCACCGCTGACTAAAATTGTCAACAAAATTCAAAGAGAAATTACTAGTTGAGTGTAAATATTAAAGAACATTCAGTGGTCACTTCTTGCATTTATTAAACGTAATGTGCAATAGAAGGTATTACTTCCCATAACTCAAATCCATCAATGTCTGAGATGTTCTCAATTGCTAAAAAAAATGTGTAAATCTTTAGGACTGCAAATTAAAAAGTTTCAACTTTTCCCTAGGAGATAGTGTTTGTAATCTTTTAAAATTGTGGCTATCACGTTTCATTTGCTAAAAAAAATTCTGTAAAAGTATTAATAATAATAATAATTAATACAATTTCATGTTGGCAAAATAATTCTATGACATTTAAAAATTTCTACACACTAACAAACTTCAAGATCATCCAGTGATTACTTTTATAATGAAGCTGGTTAAATATTAACATTTTCTGAAAGATCCTTTGCTGTAAGAATTCTTAGAAATTATAATTATTAACCAATTACTTTTTAAAAAAATATTCCAATGATTATATAAGTCAACATACCATACTGTTGTATGTCAAAACTAAGGCATTCCACTTATTTTATTATGAATAAACCCCAGTAATGCTTTCATACCTTAACTTGAATTACAAATTTGTAACATATTTGGTTTGGGATGTCCAATTATTTTATGTAAAAAGCTTTTATACCTTTTAGAGTACTTCAGACAAATTACATTTAGTAAAAACTAAACCGAATGTGACCTTATTCTTCATAATCTTCATTTGTGTTTAGTTATTTTCCGTGCAATTTTTATTCCAATTTTTGATGCCTCTAAATTATGGGGCTCCAGGCAGTTGCCTGCTTTGCTTACATATACCGGTATAGTCATGGTTCTTAAGTGATCGTGGGTCTCTTTTACTTTGACTGTTCAACCAAAGGTAACTTATTTGACGGGTTATGGATGATAATTAAAGTGCTGCCAAAGATTATTGATTTTTTTCTTGACATTTCAAACCAATAACATTTGATGTCTATAACTGTTTGCTGGACTGTTAGTCTAAATCAGAAAGTAGTAAGAACTATTTTTAAAAATCAAAAAAAACATTCATAATTTTAGACTATCAACTCACATTATCAAAATAAATGTCCACACCTTGAGGAGATGCAGCGTCTAGGGCTTTGTATATGTTGTCCTCCTTGTAGTTAATTGCATAATCATATCCAAGTTCTTTAATGTAATTACATTTCTCCTTGGTGCCAGCAATTCCAATTACTGTCAGGCCCTGAGATGTATTGACATTGGCATCAAATTGTGGTGCAAATTATTTGGCATTTACAATAATTGTCAGGGAAATGATAGGACCACAGCAACTGGCAAATGTACTTGTAATGCCAGGTAATCATTAAATAGGGATTTTACAATAGTTTTTGCCATTTATTTCTACATCCTATTATTAGAAGTTGCTGTGAAAATTTAATACCATAGAAACTTTATAAAGTATAAAGGTACACAAACTATTCTTATAACATTGTAACGTAGTACTAGTCACCACATAACATATTTACTAATGCAGTACTGGCCAACCTAAAACTGGTCCACTGTATAACATATTTATAACCTAGAGTACTGACCTACAGCACAACATATTAACTAATACTGGCCTACAGTTGAACATACGGATAAACAATAATACTGGCCCACTATATAACATATTTAATAATATGGTGCTGGCCCATTGCATTACACTTACTAACTAAAATACATTTTTAACATGAAAATGATGTCATTTTTAATAATTATTGTTTTAATGATAAGTTATAAATACTGTGGTTACTAAAAATGACCTTGAGTTTTGCAAGCTGGCCCACGATTGACCCCACAGCTCCAGATGCAGCACTGACAACAACAACCTCACCAGCTTTAGGATCACACTTCTCAAGAAATGCCAGATAAGCTGTCACACTATAAACAAGAAAAAAATATACAAATAAGGGTAGAGGAAAACCTGAAAAAACTACAACACAAAAAAAGCTGACGTTTTGGACAAAAAGTCTTCAACAACAAAGAAAAATAGAGACATACACCTGACAGACATACATTTGCTAATGATGTACTCAATGAATAAGAAGAATAAGAAAATTAATTATCAAACGCTGATACTTCAAATGTGGATATCAAAAACAGTTATCATCTGATGTCTGGTTTAAAAAAAAAGTTTCAATAATCATAAGTCTTAGTAAATTGAAATTAGGTAGCCAATCAATTTTAGCCTCAACACGGAACATTTAGTTTTTGTTATAATTTAAATATTTGATCAGTCAAAAGTTTCTTAGTGTAATATAGCCTTGGTCATCTTGGCATGTGAAGGAAAAAAAACAAGCTTAGGGGTCCAACATAAAAAGTTATTGCATCAATTCTCAGAGGATTCGCATTGGCTATGCACTGCTCCTGAAAACACAGATACATATGAATGGCATACTGAGATATACTTTAATATGGGACTGAGGCGTAATTTTATATGGGACTGAGGCATATTTTAATATGAAGCTGAGGCATACTTTAATATGGGAATGAGGTGTAATTTTATATGGGACAGAGGCATACTTTAGAATGGACTGAAACATACTTAAATATTGGACTGAGGCCTATTTTAATTTGGGACTGAAGTAAACTTTATAATGGGACTGAAGCATACTTTAATATGGGACTGAGGCATACTTTAATATGGGACTGAGGTATACTTTAATATGGGATCAAGGCATACTTTAATTTGGGACTGTAAAGGATCTAACTGGCCTCATCTGCAGTGTAATTTTTTTCATCTAAACAAATACTTGCCCAGGCATCCCAGCTGCTCCTAGCCACAGAGAGGGATTAATCTCAGAATCATCTTCAATAAGTTCAACTTGTGTGCCGAAACTCCTCGGAACTGTTACATTAACAACAGTGTGAGATCTCCAGCCTGCATGGACACATACAAGGGATCCAACTGGAAAGCCAGAGGCTTTGGAATCAAGAATTCTTTTGGAAAAATAAGCAGCATATAAAATTATTCAGATCTCCTGTATAATGATTAAATTTTGGACTCATTGTACAAAGACGTCAAGGATGCATAAACACAAACAGGCAGAGAAGCAATTAATGTTAATTTTTATAAAATTAATATAGCATTTGTTTCTCTTTAATTTAAAATCTATTTTGGATTCATAATAAGAATATTAAACATTTCTATAAATAACAATACATTATTATTGTTCAATATTTATTGAAAGCAGATATGATTTCTATGGTACATTTGATATTAGGCAAAATATGTAACAAACATCACACCTTAAAAAAATTGTAATAAAAACAATGAGAACACCTTTCCTTCCTTCACTTTAGATATGCCTTTCACTAACTAGTACAAGATAATTAGCACTTTTTAAAAAAAGGTTTTAGTTTAGTCATTATGGTCTAAATTATGAAGAATGAAACATCAAAATTGACTTTCATATGTGAGCTTTTGCTATAAAAACACACATTACACTATTATGACAAATAAATAAGAAATCCTATGTCCACATAAAATAACTGATTTTTAAAAATAAAAACTTATGACATCACATGTTTACCTTGCCACTTGCTCCCCGTGAAGAACTTTCTGGGAAGTGGCCGCAAATCTGAAATAAAATTAACATTGCTTTAATAATTTTCTTTTCATGAATTACAAGTTCATTTTTTTGGGTATTCCTAAAAATTAATGATATGACTATATATTTTTCCTCCACCTATTCTAGGGGAGAATTAATTAAATAAATTTAACACATTTTAAAAATAAACGAGTTTAAATCATAAAGAATCTAATATAACTATTTATGAGCTGCATTGGCTTTATGCACTACCAATAACTATAGGTATATATATATAAATTTAAATAATTATCTATCAAAATATATATCTATATCTAAATATATATAATATAAATATTTAAATATATATGTATATATAATAGATAAATATGTAATAATAAAAGATTTTGTACATACCTTATATAAGGATCTAGACTTAAGTAAAGTGCTTCTATGAGTATTTCTACAAGACACAGAGATGTTTGCTGATTAAAAACAACAACCAGAAAAAGATACGATGAGTATCTATTTAGACTAAATGTAAAATAAAATAAAAAAACAACTTAAAAACCAATTTTTAAATATTTATTTAGCTCAGCCAATAGAATGGCTACATTTGTTGAATTTAAAACAGTCTATTTAAGTTTTACTAATGTCATTTTAATATGTAAATGTACCAACCATCATCTTGGAGCGGTTGTAACGCTTCTTCAACAAGCTCAAAATCATTCTGTTTTGGAACGGCCTCAAAGACATTTTTCAAAGTCCAAATTTTTGCAGTTGTCATTGTGACCTTTAGTCAATTTTTACTAAAGAAACCAAAAGTTTATAATTATATAAGCCATAAAATTATACTATACATATTAATTTTGTCCTTAATTTAACTTACTCATTTTATGGTTTGGAATGGTCCAGTAAAAGAGAACACTCATCTTTAAGAAACTTCAAACTATAGCTGGGGCAACACCCTGATTACCATGCTCTTAAACACATTCTAATTATCTCACATTTTTAAACAGCCAAAATAGTTATTACCTTAAATAAAGAATAATTGGAATAGAACATAAACTGTATACATGGGTTTCAAGGTAGCAAAGGATAATGTTTCACCTTTTTGTTTTAAATATTTTAATAATGTTTCAACTTTTTGTTTCAAATATTTTAAGTAAAATTTGATAGGTAAATTAAAAGATAACACCAAATATGTACACTGCCCCTTCTTTTCTTAAGCACATAACAATCATAACAGAACTGAAGATCTCCCCTTTCATTCTATACAGGCCAACCTACCTCCAGTAGTAATGCAGTGTGATTATTTCATGACTAGTTGTTATAAAGACAGTGTACAGGACTCTGGTCCACTGTTATTAATGCCTCACTCTAAATATATGGGCCAAAGTAAATCAACTATCTATTATGAGAGGTAAGTCGGGTCAAAGGGCTTACAAGTTATCATTAGGTAGCGGCTATAATTTAACTATGGTTGGTTGCAGCTATAATAAATAAACTAGTGCTTCTCAAACTTTTTTTGTCCACCGCCCCATAAACTCATCTCTAGCGCCACCTTGTCTTACCAAAAATTTTTTATTTATTCAGAATATTAGCCTGTGTAACTATATAAGGAAGAAGACAACACATTAATATTTTAAAGTGTACAATTAAATTGTTCTTTTACTTAAAATGCAGGGTCCTCAGGTATTTAAGGGGCACAAAGTTATGTGACAAAAGTTTAAATCATCAACTTTGAATGCAGGGGGCACAAACCGAAAAGTGCCAGGGGGCCTCCAAAAGTCAATGCCACGGTTCTGGCGATACCATTTGTTCAGTGCCTGGTTGAAGGTAACTTAATAAAATTCTTAAATAAAAAGTTATAACAATATGTAATTTATTTCATGCTTGGAGTAAATCAAGTCAATCAGAAAAAAGCACCTTCCATCAGATACGATATTGTCAATAAAACCAGATGTGTTTTCATCCCTTTCTACGGTGCATGTTAAAGAAAGGAAATTTTATTCTGAAGCCACAACTATTGGTACAATTTCTTACACTTGGGCTCCAAATTTAAATAAAACTTCAATTTTAAATTGAATTAGCAGTTTATCCCAACCACCAAATGTATTTTTATCTGAACTTGGATTATTCACATCATCATACATTTAGCTAAAGTTATTCTAAGAATTTTTAAAACTGCTAACATGCTTTTTTTTATTTGCCATATTCAAAACGTACATATGGTAGGACGTATGATATAAACTGTGGATAGCTTCAACTTTGATTTAATATGTATGATTTGTTACTGATACATAATAACAACTAATAATTTTATTAAGATAAATGTCTCCGAATTTAGATTATATGATGTGGACAAGTTCACTAATTATATTGACTATACTTGTCTGGTGAGAAAACTCTAACTTATCTAGTGAGAAACAGTGTAACTTGTCTGGTGAGAAACAGTGTAACTTGTCTGGTGAGAAACAGTGTAACTTGTCTGGTGAGAAACGGTACTATTGAATGCAAATTGTTTAATTTATGTTTGAATGACTTTTTGTTCTTTCAAAATTTTAAATGTATTATTGTTCTACAATTTACATTGGTGACAAGCCATTACAGTGTCAAGTCAAGTTAAAGTCTTCAGACAGGATTCGGCAAGGTATTAATTAGTTATACTTTAACTTTAATCCACTCAACCAGTCTTCTGTATTCTTATCTGTTAATTGTTATCACATTATTGTTTTGGATGACCGCTAAAAAAATCAAACTCATTCCAAGGAAATAAAATTATATATACCACTAAGGATGCATTCAGTCTTGTAAAGTGGAATTGTCTGAAAATACATAGTGAAGTATGGATGAATATAGAGGTAAGTTTTGATGAATACATAGGGAGGCATTAATTAATTAAGCATTGTTTCTTTGTCAGTACTATCATTCGGGTGAATGAGGTGTGGGGGGGGGTGCAGGGGGAGTGTCAAAAGATCACACTATTTAAAATATCCTTGGAATGCATTTGCGGAATTATTTCTCTTCTTTTTAAAATTTGTTGAGCCACTGCTTGATCTGCAGAGTAATCACACCACAGAAAGAAAATCAACAAAGAAAGAGAAAAATACATAAATAAAATAAGTCAAAACTTTCCTTAAATGGATTTAATTGTGGTGGCGATGCACTCATCCATGACTGGGCACATTAAAAAAATTTCTTCCTCTTGAACAAATTATAAATATATTTGTTTACATTGTAAACAAAGTACAGACACACAATCGACTCATAAATGAAGAAAAAACAACAACTCACAATTTCAATAAAAAATATACAGAGTAGAACCATGTTATTCAAATTTGCTGTAATGACAGGTATACATAACAGGCAAACAACTTTAGCAGTGTAATCTATGCAGATCTCAATAGTGTTTGGTTGTACACATAAGTTTGCACTGTGTATTGAAGACTCCATGAGTTTCATAACTTATACAAATGTTACTCACGCAAATGATAGGGCAGTCCGCTGACACCTTGTCTCCTAGAAAGATGTTACCAATTAAGGGACATTTAAATAAAAATTTCATTTACAAGTGAAACAAAAGAAATGTCTGGAAACAAGATTTCAAATCATGATGACAAAAACTTATTTTTAAAAGCACTTTTGAAATATTGCTCGCCCATATCACTATAGTCAAATGTTTCTATTAATCACGCTTCACAGCTCTTGTATGTATCACATGTGAGCACGCTCCTAATCATACAGCATTTAAAAAAAAAAAATAGCCATAAGAGACAGAAATCAAATTCATTAATACGGTTGAATGGATCTTATAGTTTATTCAAAATATTTTCAAACGTTTTTCTAAAATGTAAAGAAACCATCTCAACACGTTAACTTAGATTCTTTTGAAATTAATTACAGTAAGGTGCCATTTATTGTGATCTGTGATTGTCCACTGAATATTGAATCTATTAAAGACATTTCTAATATCAGTAACAGAACAGAAAAACAGACAAATATGCATCAAAAGACACAAACAAATTCAAACAGTGAGTATAATTTATGTACAAAAAAATGTTTTGGAGTTTAATATACAACTCAATATCCTATTTTATTGAAATAATGTTTTAATGACATTCTCATCCACAAATTTTGTCGCAATATTCTACTGGAAGGTTCTTTACTCGTTTAAAACACTTACTTTTACAGCTAACTGGCACTGATTTAATCTTTCCTGTCATGTTAAAAGAACAGGTTATTGTTATTGTTTTATTTTATCCATTGTTATTATTTATGATCAATGTTTGTTTCTGTGAAATTAATTCAGAAAGAATGATTCAAATAAAGCAAAAAATGCAGATAAGTTTATATTTTGAAACCGTCATTTGATAATTTCTTCTATAAAGCGGCTGATTCTAAAATCAAGGATCACAATAAATAGCACCTAGTGTGTTATTAAACACCACTTAAGGCCTTATTATAAAATTTAAATTCTCGAATACACATAAAATGCATACTTTGAACTTTACAAATGAAAATGAAAGAAAGTCTATTTGAATGAGTTTAGAAAAATAATGTAAGTAACAAAACATCATTTTTATTAACTTAAATTACAAACTAAACAGTATGAATTGACAATGAAAAATGCAATATCTTTTGATATAATCGAATGATATTAGCCAACTAAAACAACACAATTTTTGTATTGAATACTTAATTTAATCTGCGTGGTAAAAAAAAACACACATTAAGACAGTAACAATATCTCTTGCATGACTGGATAATTTTAGTTACATATGTTCAACTCTTAACAGAATTCTTAATTCTTGCAAACAAACTTCTCTGTGTTAGAGCATTGGATACAATCTCTTACTTCAATGAAATACATATCACAATTCATAAATATAGATATTCTGTGTTTATGATGCAACACCACAAATAAAAATATGTTTGATAATCAAATAAGGAAAGTACAGAGGTTCGTTTAGAAAAAAGTCTAGAATTTTCTCAAAAAAACAATGTGAAACAAAAGAGAAATCATTTACCACTCTGCCTTAATTGAAAAAACAAAAATATAAAAGTCTGCATTGCTTGATAACAAATTTTTTTCAAATTTAAATGTAGTTTTAAGACACTTTCATGTGTTTGGTTAGTTAACATTATGTCAGGTAAAAGAAGTATGTTTATCAAAGTTCAGTGTAAACACACTAATATTCTCACAGTAGTATTACCAATGAGCTTTCATAAATAGTCAAAAGAACTATAAGAAAAGGAAAGATCGCTAATGTCTTAATGAACTTTTAAAAATTATTTTTTTTTGATAAATGACTTCATGGTGTTGCATCAATGAAAGTAAATTTACAAGTGTTCTTTGAATTACAGAAACAGTTTAAGTCTTGAGGTTAATTATCATAAAAAATATTAGTGAGCTAATTGTAAAAGCAGTAATCTTATTACTTAGAGGAATGATAACATTTCCATTACGCATGGAGTGACCAATGAAGCTAGGACGGTCCATCTAGTAACCCTAAACAAATATGTTTAACCTTCTATATATGGTGTTTAATGAAAATTTTCACTAATTGATTTCCCTACACACAGTGCTTTTTTAATACGGTAAGGAAAACAAAATAGGATACTTAAAAAATAATATGTAAAAAAAAAAGTGGAAATCCAAGGGACTGTCTATGTGAAAAGTGCCAAATTTTTTAGAGTTATAAACGGATTTGATTAAAAAGCTGCAGCTATTTAGTGGGAGATGAAGGTTGTATCTGAAGGGTTGAAGTGTCAAACAAGATCACTGGCAAATCTCCATGAAGCCTTGGATAAGGAAGATCAACCTCACCCTGAGGGATTAATATATAAATCTCTGCGGTTAATACTTATTTGTAATATTCATTTTTACTTTTTACATTAAAACACATAAGACCAAGGGAAACAACACCATGCGAAAAATGGCAAATAATTGCACCATTTTTTCATATTACTGTTTTTGCAACATAACATTTTTTTTTTAGACTAAGGATGGGAAAACATAACTTATTTTATATTACTGCATAGATGAGGATTGAATCTACAAGCCAATGTAACAATTAAATTGATCAGATAAAAAAACAATAAACAATAAAATATATATAAAATAAATAAAATATCTCAAATATATATATATATATATATATATATATATATATATATATTACTAAAAAATATTTACCTGTGGTACCAAGTTCCGATTATAACGCCTCATAACAGCTTTGTTAGTTTTACGATCTACTACTTCACAGTAGAACTCATGTGCCAAGTCACCATCTTCATCAAAATACATAGAACTGGAATTTAAAAAAAACAACACACATATCACTAAGGGCAGCCCAATTTAAAACTTAAAAATAAAGCAATAAGGTGTCAAACAGAAAACATCACTTGTTTATATATAATACTCATATTCATATGATTATGGGGTTATACAAATATTTTAATTTAAGTGATATTTTAAGTATCCGTCCATTCTAAACTGAGCATACATTTTTTAAGATAAAGATTACATCAAGAGAAAATTTGAAAAGTAATAATTACAATATTCATGAGAATTCAACAAGAATAAGGAGAACCACAAAAGATTACCTGTGTTAAAACTACATTATGTTGGCTTCTTACTAATATATAATACAAATTATTTCTTTTATAACCAAAGGCGTTAAAACCTATATAATTACAAAACAAAAAGACCTTTAAATTTAAGAAGCCTGCTCAAATTGAAAATAGGGATATGTGGAATTACATTTGCAATAAAAATAATTATCACAAAAATTTACCCTAACCCCAACAGTGTGTGTTTTTATAAGGCCCTCAGACCAATACATGAGTACCTACTAAGTACCATGAAGGTCAATAAATAGATTATTGGTTAAAGATTTATTTTACTTACAATCTTTTTTTAATGGGTTTACCAAAGATACCAATGAATATGAGCATCCCTACTCAAAACAAAATAACCTTGAATGATGAACCATACAATCTTAAGGCTGTCACATACACTATCTTGATATGTGCCTACTTAACAGTTGGTAGATACTTTCATAAAAATAGTTATAAATACAAGAAATGTTTCATCGGAATTAGGTGCACATTTTATATTTGAATGCACATTTATTCTAAAATATAGACCTACTATAATATTAATTCCCTCAATGCCACTAATGAAATTTAAGTTATCAAAATATTAACATGGATTAACAAAGTTCAATACCTATTTCCAGTATCTGATACTAGGCACTTTGGTAAAGCAATAGAGACTATTAATTTTTTTTTAATGGGAAATGGGTGTAGGTAAATTAGAGTTTTTTATTCATAAAAGAATTATTATTTCGCATAATTGTTTTCCATTTCTGTCCTTTCATTTTGGAGGACATCTTGGCTTACATTTCAATCGATTTCTTTTTCATTTACAATCAGTCAATTTTGAGAAATTCCTTAGTAAATATACGGCAACTTTCATCAAGTAAGATTAACTTAAATCAAATTTAAATATATGACCTTTTCATATTTAGTATATCTCTGGGATATATATTGATCTACATGTGCGCCAATTTTCATAGCATTATGTGTTTTATGAGAGATGCCATGTTTGTTATGCAGTATGTTATGCAGGAGGAAACTTGGCCCAACTTGGATTGTATGTGATCACACCCACTTTTTAATGGAGGAAGATGAAGATACAATTGAAATATTCAATTGTTACCACTATCACTATTTACTTCAAAATATTTGATAATGAACTTACAAAGCGTTTAAACAATTCTATTTTTATTATTTGTGTTTAAAACCCTAGTAGAGTACATATTATAAATTATCATAATTTATAGTGTGCAAAACCGTTGTTATGGGCAACCATTCAGTCCCTTTCACAGGACTATATTAAATAGTCTCAGAGATTCATTCATAAGAAAAAGTGTTGTGTGCTAACACTATTAAGCCATTGGTTAGGGAAAGTTTCAATTAATTATGCAAAACTTGAAAGTTTTTTAAAAAAAGTAGAACTTAACCAGTATTTTTTATTGACACACTGCCTTTATTACAAACACTTGACTTATATATATAATGGATGCCTTAGACTTAGTAGAGAACAGCCATATTGTATATATTTAATTTTTTTTTGAAGCTTGCTCTATATATAAGTGTAATGTTTTTATAATCTTACAACTGAAGTACCTGAACCTACTGATATAAGTATAAGGTTTCCTGTATTCGCTGACGTAGGCAATGTATGGGCTATGGATAACTAGTGACAAATTAAGTATGATCTCCATGCAATACAGTAAAGCATCTTAAAATGCTATAATTAGCTATCATAAATATTTACAACCTGTAATTTAATATCCTGTATTTATAAGATTTCTTTTCAGTTTTCATAATCACTAATTAAATAAAATTGTCCAAGCCAAAAAAATGCATTAATTATCTTTTTAAATTGTGGAAGCAAATTTATTTGAGATATTTTTAATTATCACATTTAAATAAAACTTTCTACCTGTACAAAATTTTAAGAATATTCATTCATAAGGTAATGATAATATTAATAATACAAACTTTTATTAAGATTTGTAAAGGTAGTGAAGCTATTAAAAGTATTTTCTATATAATAACATTAATATTGAAAGTGCATGAAAGCCATTTCCAGCATGCCTGCCTATTGACTATTAACAAATTGCTGACTTTCTATTTTTGATTTCTGGTGAACTATACTACTGATTCCAGGACAAGAATTATTAACTTTAGTACCACTAGTTAGTTTTAAAAATGAATTAACTATAAAACAGATGTGTCTATATCAATGCACATTTCTCACAAGAAAAGCATTTAAAATCATGTTTGCTGTGTCACTGTAAGTGTAAAAACTAATAGTGGTAATAATACTAATAGCCTTTTTTTCTATGGGAAGCTTTATCCACACAGCTCTGTGAATAACGTTGAGCGTTATCGGCAGACCGAGATCTGCGAATAACGCCAAGCGTTATCGTCAGACCAAAATCTGCGAATAATGCAGAACGTTATTGTTAGACAGAAATGTTCCCATAATGACGCACATTTCTAGAAATAATTAAGATCACATTCCAAGCCAGGGTAGGGGTGTAGTTTTAAGTAGTGTAGGATAGATCGATCGTTAATGAGAATGGCACAAACACATCTCAAAACCGAAGCTACCGGTATGCACAAGTTAAATTTAAAAAACTTAATTAATAGGCCTAACTATAGCCTATATATTGGATATAGGACAATTAATTGTGCCTACATCTGCTCTGTTAGGGGCCAACATATTCGACCTATAGAGTGTTACTAATAGATCCAGTCAAACCTCCTACCTCTAGACATAGCTAATTTTCTGGTATTTCATATTAAATGTTTCAGCAGTAATAAAAATGGTACCGTATTCTTCATGTAGACTCACTTTCACCCACTGTAGAGATATCTTTAAATGATGTCAAAGCTTGATAGGATATCGTTTATTTTTTTTTAAAGCACTATGATATATCACGTAGTCCAGAAATGTTCTGACAGAAATAGTTGACATGCCGTGCAACAGTGTTATGATGCAGAGAGGTGTCGCCATCAGGCGGCCATGTGAGAGACGGGGAGGGGCATATAGGCCCTACATCGATAATAACAAAATCTAATCCTGTTTAAGGCTAGTATTTTTTCCTAATCCTTGAGGGTGTCAAGGATACTACTTATTATGATACTTATTAGAAAATAAAATGAAACAAATAAAATGTGACATATTTTTTCAGCTAAACATTAATACACAACTCTGAGATCTAAAATATTTGAATAAGTAAGTTATTAATAAGTATTTGTTTATTAGAGAAAAAACAAATGGATGTTAAAGTTTATGAGTGGAATTATACAAAGAAAATTAAACAGTCAAAAGAGCTAAAAGTATATCACAATGTACAGTTAGAACAGCTGTATCTGACTTAAACATGGTTTATGCGGCTCATCTGCATGTCCATGTTGTAGACGAAACTTGAATGAACATTCTAACAAAATAGATTGAAACTTGTAACATAAGTAACAAAACTATATGAAAATAATAATAAAACTATGTGAACAGAATAAGAAAGCTATATGAAGAATATTATTATAATAGAACACAACGAAATAACCATTAAATTTTATTTTTAAAAAAATTTTATTTATAAAAATGAGGCTTCCCCGACGGTGAATCGAACCTATGTCTGCCGGGTGACGGGCGGAGATACTGACCACTACACTACTGAGGAGATGTTTACATACGAACTTTGTATTTTATATTCATAATTTAATTTATCACATTCTGCGAATAATGTCGAGCGTTATCGGCAGACCGAAATCTGTGAATAACGGTGAGCGTTATCCGCACAGCTCTGTGAATAATCACTTCGTTTTTCTATAGTTACATTCATTGGTATGCTAGGAAGAGAAACTTCTCTGCTTCATTGATGAAATAATCCATCTATTTTTGAACTGTTAGGAGGAAAAGAGAAATTAGAGGAGGTCGCAGAAAATCCTTGCCAAAACCGTGTACATCATTTTTCGACGAGTGCAGATCATATGTGTGGTGAGTTATCGAAGTACCTAAAATTACTGAAGGAAGATACAGTAAGCCTGAAGATACTTCCTCTGCTACTCAGCAACTAGATTGGCAACATGATAAGTGGGCAAGACTGTAATCAGGTTAGGTAGAAGAAGGTTTAGATTTAAGATTTAAAGTTTAGAATATTTAGATACCAGGTAGTCAGTATTAATGAAAAACAAAAAAGTTAGCAGAAACTTACCCTCTTCTTTTAAAAACGAATAGAGTAGTGCCTTTAGAAAGCAAATTGCTATTTGACCCTAAATCATCTTGTTTTTGTCTATCGGTGCCTCGGAACCATGACAGAGGCTGCGTTACTATTTTGGAGACGCTGGAAGCAGTCTGACCCATTCTTTAAATTGCAATCATGTTCCCTTTACCATGTTGCAATAGTTTTTAAATTATATGACAGCAATATATATGTTAAGTTAAATAGTTTTCCGTGATCACAATAAAAGTGCAAGTGTATCCTTATTTTTTTAGTTTACTATCTTCATACAATGTGGATTATTTTGGATATATGTACAGGAATAACGTCTGAAATAATTTCCGGAAGTAATGCTTAAGATTTAAGAGTGATTTCCCCTCTCTTAAAAAAAAAGAAGGGTGATTCTGTGTCAGTTTCGCGAACTTAAAATCATAATAATCTCAACAATAATAGGCCTGGTGATTTTAACTTTAATAATAAGAGCATTAATATACTTTGTTCCGAAAAGCTTTGGAAGGAAACTTTGAGTGAATCATTAAAATGTTAATTAATTTACTAATTTTGCATTTAAAATCCATCATAATGGTTACAAATATTATGCGTTATTCAACATCATTCACAGGTTTACGTTTTGCCCCCCCCCCCCCTTTATTTTTTTTCAACCGCCCCAAGGAAGCGGTAATTGTAATCTGAAGTAGGTATCCACTGTTAACTAAATAAGGTCATATTTAAAGGAAGCTACCCCTTTTGAGCTCCTGGGTTGCTCTTATCTACTGAATAGTGTTCTCGCATCTACTGAAATATTACATTCATTGTAAGGAACCGAGCTATTGGTCTTTAATGGCCCCGGCAAGTAGGGTACAGGCCTGCCTCATCTGCTGGGCAGTCCGTATAACAGGCTCTTGACATGGTTGGCTGGGAGCACCCCAGTCATACCAGTCGCTAATGTCGAGCACTCGGCTAGAAGGTGCTCTACTGTCTCCGGCGCCTGTCCACAATGTAGGAGCACGGGTCCCGCAGTTGGTGCAACCTATTCAGGTAGCTACAAATAGGGCAATGCTCTGTTCTCATCTGGGTGAGGAGGCTGTGCTGGTGGCTTTTAAGACTCCACCATTGATCGCCCTTTAGGTTTGTTTTCGGCACGTTCCGGTAAAGTTTCGGGCAGTAGTACCCTGTTCCCATTTTTTAACCCATTATTCAGTTACATGGCTATTAAAAATGACAGATTGCTCGCATCTACTTTAAATAGTCCGCTCTTATCAACAAAATAGTGCGCTCGAATCTACAAAATAGTGCGACCTGTTATTGAATAGTGCGCACTGAAAAAGCCCCAAGTGGATGGACGGAAATGAAAATTCAAACCACTTCATAAACATCCAAGCATGATGTCCAGTTAATCAGGATGGAACTAATTCTGTATGGTAAATAGTTGTGTTTCTGATAACTTACAATCATATGTTAATCTGGCTACCGCGATTTTTGTGCCATCTTGCTAAATGGTGTAATGTGTGGAGTATGGTCTTACCGGAGTATTAAAATTTATATTTGCCATTGAAGAGGGGTGCAAATCAGTTTTGGAATCTTTCTACCCTTAAATACTCACTGTTACTGTTACCTGTGTTTATGTAGGTTAGTGTTAATTTGTAACTGTTACTGACTCTGTAACGATTCAATTAGTGCTATTGGGGTAACAAATGGAGTAGCTGCTATGCACACTTCAACAAACGGCTCACTTGGCCGATCCTGGAATGACAGTCTCGGCTGCATTTCTCGTAGGCGGATCTTGACTCCTGGTTTGATCTTGTCCTTCCGTTTTGATCTTTTTGTCGCAACTTCTGCGTTTCGCACATCTTCGGACTTTTTGACTCCTTCACACACTGCTTATCGCCAGCTGTAACCTTGCTCTCCCATGGTCAAGCAATGGTCTCCCATTCGTTGACTTCTATGTTGGCTTCTCTCATGCTCCTTTCGCAAACGTCCATAAACCGCAATAAAACATGTACACTAAACACATATCTACAAATTAAATGAACTAAAAAATTGCGCTAATCAATTACTGAAAAAAGATAAATCGTGGTTTTGTTGTAATTGAAATTGCTATTTAATAATCTTAGAATGACATAAGAGATTATTCATGGACAATTTCAATTTAAAAAAAAAAGAAAATGTCATTTTATCCATTCTAATTTGTCTAATATATATATATATATATATATATATATATATATATATATATATATATATATCGTCAGTCGAAATCGATCAGGGCCATTTTAATCATCGTATTTGTGCTAGTTCTGAACTTGACTGTGGGTGCGCAGATGGCTGATGACACCGATTCTTGCTTGAAATGGTCTTGTGCGAGTAAGTGCAGGGGATTGATGGGACTTCACAGGGTGCTGAGCCAACCCGCGGTAGGCCTCGTGTTGCATGGGGCCTTTGGCTACAGAGGAACACCACGCTACTCCAATCTTTGCCGATTCGTCCCATGTGTCCAGGTTAATATCGGGCGCTTTCAGTGAGGCTTTCTGGGTCGTCTTTACATCGTGCCTAATGACGTCTAGCAAACCGCCTAGAGCTCTCCAAGCGTCTGACATTTGTACAAATTGGTAACTAGGCTGGTTCCTCGTGTGTCAGAGATGTGTACTGCCCTGGTTCCTCGGTGTCAGAGATGTGTCCTGCCCTGGTTCCTCGGTGTCAGAGATGTGTCCTGCCCTGGTTCCTCGGTGTCAGAGATGTGCCCTGCCCTGGTTCCTCGGTGTCAGAGATGTGTCCTGCCTTGGTTCCTCGGTGTCAGAGATGTGTCCTGCCCTGGTTCCTCGGTGTCAGAGATGTGTCCTGCCCTGGTTCCTCGGTGTCAGAGCTGTGTCCTGCCCTGGATCCTCTGTGTACCTCGGTGTCAGAGATGTGCCCTGCCCTGGTTCCTCGGTGTCAGAGATGTGTCCTGCCTTGGTTCCTCGGTGTCAGAGATATGTCCTGCCCTGGTTCCTCGGTGTCAGAGATGTGTCCTGCCCTGGTTCCTCGGTGTCAGAGATGTGTCCTGCCCTGGTTCCTCGGTGTCAGAGATGTGTCCTTCCCTAGTTCCTCTGTGTCAGAGATGTGTCCTGTCCTGGTTCCTCGATGTCAGAGATGTGTCCTGCCCTGGTTCCTCTGTGTCAGAGATGTGTCCTGCCATTTAATGTTGAGTATTTTTCTGAGGCTTGAATGAAAGCGGTTTAACTTTTCACGGGCATAGAGAAGCATAGGGAGGACATCCGCCTTGTAAAATTTCATTTTAGTGTAAGTGCTTGATACATCTCCTGGTCCATACATCCTTAGACAATTAGCCGTAGGTTGCACTGGTTCTTGTAATACAAAGGTTGGCCTCGTCATCGATGGTTGCGCTTTGGGACTGCATGCTGCCAAGATAAGAGAAAGCTGTTTATCACTTTAAGCCTCTCTCCATATACTTAACGGGTTCAACTTATGGCTTTCGAGGAGCTGTCTAGCATTGGACCTCATTCTTTTTTGTGTGTTCACGGTGAGGCCGAATTTTATGCAGGCATTGGAGAAATTAGCTTCACTGCGTTCTATAACCGATTCTGATCCACCTTTTAGGACACAATCTGATGATAATCAACTTTAAAAAAATAAGATTATCATGTTATTGTTGTAATTGCTATAATCTAATAAGATTGTCATGTTATTGTTGTAATTGCTATAATCTAATAAGACTGTCATGTTATTGTTGTAATTGCTATAATCTATTAAGATTATCATGTTATTGTTGTAATTGCTATAATCTAATAAGATTGTCATGTTATTTTTTTAATTGCTATAATCTATTAAGATTATCATGTTATTGTTGTAATTGCTATAATCTAATAAGCCATTTAAACCATTCAATATCTTCAAATTTGTTTGAATGCTAAAAAAAAAATTATGTCCAACGATGACATTGACATTACCAGAGATGATGACGTTACACTTTCTTGTTCGACTTCTCCTTTATTTTACTCATCCAGACGAAGTCAAAGTAACAGCTTTTCAAGCCAGTAATGCTACTTTCGTTTCATGTTGCTTTAAGCATGAAGGATTTTGCACTAGGTTTATGATAGCCATTCTTCTTCTTCTACTTCTTCTTCCATATTCTGAGGGCCCGCGATCAACGTATTGACCATTCTGGCTCCATTTATTCATTAAGAATAATTCGAAAAAGACAACAGCTGATAGAACTTAATAGCTATATTTAGATATATTAACCTATTGGTTCAACCTAATCGAGATATTTAAACTATTTTAAGATTAATTTTGTCACGATTCCTTTTAAAACAGACAAAATTTGGATCATCAGCCATCTTTTCAGTAAGAAAGTCATTTTATGAAGGATCACACGAAGAGAGCTGAAAGTACTAATTTAATATTTAAGCCAATTCCCTGCTCATGAGGCTGCGACGCTTGCAATCAGCAGCAAAGAGAGGCAAGTAGATCACAAAATGAATTGGGTATTAGTAAGTGGTCTTGTGGCCAAAGGACTTCTGGCAATATGTTTAGTTCTACACAAGTCCTTCGCCCACATCATAGTTCCGCCGATGGATGACGTTGTTTACTCCGTTGAAGGGGATTTCAACATCGGCGTGATTGTTTCGATCTCCTCCCACGAAAGGACACGTATCTGTGGGACCAACCTGCCAATCAACGCACTGATGATGGTTGAAGTCGTGGAAGTGATCGTCTATGCCATAACGCAGATTAATTTGGTATGTACACGCTCCCAAAATAATGAGTGAGCGAATCGGTCAATCAAAATTCCTTTGATGTGAATTTTTGAATGGCTTGAGCAGGTTGAATATAGCCCATAGAATATATTCCTAATTGGACGAAATTTCGAACCCTTGAACTAATTCATATTCATTATTCTGGGCGCCGACACTTAAAATGTGATTATGTTGGCCTGTCATTATTATGCCTAAAATATTTCATATTCAACTTGATTACCATATTACACTATTTCAGTTGAACTTTAGGGTTCCTGGGATCTCTGGGCGAAATTAATGCAAAGTAACTAAGTTTTAAGCAGACGTGGCATGCATGAAGGTTGGATGACCCAGTAGCTAAGTTTTAAGCAGGCGTGGCATGCATAAAGGTTGGATGACCCAGTAGCTAAGTTTTAAGCAGGCGTGGCATGCATGAAGGTTGGATGACCCAGTAGCTAAGTTTTAAGCAGGCGTGGCATGCATGAAGGTTGGATGACCCAGTAGCTAAGTTTTAAGCAGGCGTGGCATGCATGAAGGTTGGATGACCCAGTAGCTAAGTTTTAAGCAGGCGTGGCATGCATGAAGGTTGGATGACCCAGTAGCTAAGTTTTAAGCAGGCGTGGCATGCATGAAGGTTGGATTACCCAGTAGCTAAGTTTTAAGCAGGGGTAGCATGCATGAAGGTTGGATGACCCACTAGCTAAGTTTTAAGCAGGCGTGGCATGTTAGAAGGTTGGATGACCCAATAGCTAAGTTTTAAGCAGGCGTGGCATGCATGAAGGTATGATGACCCAGTAGCTAAGTTTTAAGCAGGCGTGGCATGCATGAAGGTTGGATGACCCAATAGCTAAGTTTTAACCAGGCCTGGCATGCATGAAGGTTGGATGACCCATTAGCTAAGTTTTAAGCAGGCGTGGCATGCATGAAGGTTGGATGACCCAGTAGCTAAGTTTTAAGCAGGCGTGGCATGTTAGAAGGTTGGATGACCCAATAGCTAAGTTTTAAGCAGGCGTGGCATGCATGAAGGTTGGATGACCCAGTAGCTAAGTTTTAAGCAGGCGTGGCATGTTAGAAGGTTGGATGACCCAATAGCTAAGTTTTAAGCAGGCGTGGCAAGCATGAATAAGAAATTCTGTATTTAAAAAAAAGGGGGTGGGGTTAAGTTTTTAATCTGATCAAGGGAGATGTGTACTCGTTATGAGTGCTCAGATGTGTGGGGTTTTTATGGTTGCACGAATATAACGGTTCTTTTTGGATATTAGGCTATACATTCGTGGTTGTGGGATAGCACGCTGTTCTAGAAAATGCCATTCTTCAATCTCTAGCTTACATGGGGATATAAATTACGTTTTAATACTTACAATAACATCAAAATGGACCCGTTTCCCAGAAAATTCCCTTAAATTTCCAAAAGTAAATTGGTCAGTGTTTTACGCGGGTCTTGGGTGCAAGAGAGGAAGTCTTACTTTCATTGGAACCCCACAGTGATCAGCTGTAACGATTTTTGTGTGCTAGAGAGGAAGTCTAACTTTCGTTGGAACCCCATAGTGATCAGCTTTAACGATGTCTCCCGAAGTTTGATTTCCCGAAGACAACTTTAAAGATTAATTAATCGTACAGCACGCAACAAATTGATACATTTATTGTTTACGCGACTGTCCAATTTGTGATTTCTTCTCCCCAAAGGACAAGACGCTGCTCCCGAATATGAAGTTAGGGTTTGTTATTTTGGATGCTTGTAAGAAGACGCAGGCCGCAGTATTTCAGGCCATGCGGTTCTTGCCTCAGTCCAACCCCGACGACTACAAGGTTTCAAGTAAGTCAACATTTTGTTCTATAAGCTAAACAAACATTTAGAGTACGGGCGTTTTTTGTTGTTGAAATATCGTCAACACCGAGCAACCTAGCGCCATCGAGTAGATCAGTGGGTGGTTCCGAGCAACCTAGCGCCATCACGTAGATCAGTAGGTGGTTCCGAGCGACCTGGCGCCATCTTGTAGATCAGTGGGTGGTTCCGAGCAACCTAGCACCATCGCGTAGGTCAGTGAGTGGTTCCGAGCAACCTAGCGCCATCGCGTAGGTCAGTGAGTGGTTCCGAGCGACCTAGCGCCATCGTGTAGATCAGTGAATGGTTCCGAGCAACCTAACGCCATCGCGTAGGTCAGTGAGTGGTTCCGAGCGACCCAGCGCCATCGTGGTGATCAGTGGGTAGTTCCGAACAACCTAGCGCCATCGCGTAGATCAGTGAGTGGTTTCGAGCAACCTAGCGCCATCGCGTAGGTCAGTGAGTGGGTCCGAGCGACCTAGCGCCATCGCGTAGATCAGTGGGTGGTTCCGAGCAACCTAGCGCCATCGTGTAGATCAGTGAGTGGTTCCGAGCAACCTAGCGCCATCGCGTAGATCAGTGGGTGGTTCCGAGCAACCTAGCGCCATCGTGTAGATCAGTGAGTGGTTCCGAGCAACCTAGCGCCATCGCGTAGATCAGTGGGTGGTTCCGAGCAACCTAGCGCCATCGTGTAGATCAGTGAGTGGTTCCGAGCAACCTAGCGCCATCGCGTAGATCAGTGGGTGGTTCCGAGCAACCTAGCGCCATCGTGTAGATCAGTGAGTGGTTCCGAGCAACCTAGCGCCATCGCGTAGATCAGTGGGTGGTTCCGAGCAACCTAGCGCCATCGTGTAGATCAGTGAGTGGTTCCGAGCAACCTAGCGCCATCGCGTAGATCAGTGGGTGGTTCCGAGCAACCTAGCGCCATCGTGTAGATCAGTGAGTGGTTCCGAGCAACCTAGCGCCATCGCGTAGGTCAGTGAGTGGTTCCGAGCGACCTAGCGCCTTCGTGTAGATCAGTGAGTGGTTCCAAGCAACCTAGCGCCATCGTGTAGATCAGTGAGTGGTTCCGATTGACCTAGCGCCATCGAGTAGATCAGTGAGTGGTTCCGAGCAACCTAGCGCCATCGCGTAGGTCAGTGGGTGGTTCCGAGTGACCTAGCGCCATCGTGTAGATCAGTGAGTGGTTTCGAGCAACCTAGCGCCATCGCGTAGATCAGTGGGTGGTTCCGGGCAACCTAGCGCCATCGTGTAGATCAGTGAGTGGTTACGAGCAACCTAGTGCAATCGTGTAGATCAGTGAGTGGTTCCGAGCAACCTAGCGCCATCGCGTAGATCAGTGGTAGTCTCCGAGCAACCTAGCGCTATCGCGTAGATCAGTGGTAGGTTCCGAGCAACCTAGTGCCATCGTGTAGATCAGTGAGTGGTTCCGAGGAACCTTGCGCCATCGCGTAGGTCAGTGGTAGGTTCCGAGCAACTAAGCGCCATCGCGTAGGTCAGTGAGTGGTTCCGAGCAACCTAGCGCCATCGCGTAGGTAAGTGAGTAGTTCCGAGCAACCTAGCGCCATCGCGTAGGTCAGTGGGTGGTTCCGAGCAACCTAGCGCCATCGTGTAGATCAGTGAATGGCTACGAGCAACCTAGCGCCATCGTGTAGATCAGTGAGTGGTCCCGAGCAACCTAGCGCCATCGTGTAGATCAGTGAGAGGTGCCGAGCAACCTAGCGCCATCGTGTAGATCAGTGAGTGGTTCCGAGCAACCTAGCGCCATCGCGTAGGTCAGTGAGTGGTTCCAAGCGACCTAGCGCCATCGTGTAGATCAGTGGGTGGTTCCGAGCGACCTAGCGCCATCGTGTAGATCAGTGGGTGGTTCCGAGCAACCTAGCGCCATCGTGTTGATCAGTGAGTGGTTCCGAGCAACCTAGCGCCATCGTGTAGGTCAGTGGGTGGTTCCGAGCAACCTAGCGCCATCGTGTAGATCAGTGAGTGGTTCCGAGCAACCTAGCGCCATCGTGTAGATCAGTGAGTGGTTCCGAGCAACCTAGCGCCATCGCGTAGGTCAGTGAGTGGTTCCGAGCGACCTAGCGTCATCGCGTAGATCAGTGAGTGGTTCCGAGTGTGCTAGCGCCATCGTGTAGATCAGTGGGTGGTTCCGAGCAACCTAGCGCCATCGCGTAGGTCAGTGAGTTGTTCCAAGCGTCCTAGCGCCATCGTGTAGATCAGTGGGTGGTTCCGAGCAACCTAGCGCCATCGTGTAGATCAGTGAGTGGTTCCGAGCGACCTAGCGCCATCGCGTAGGTCAGTGAGTGGTTCCAAGCGACCTAGCGCCATCGTGTAGATCAGTGGGTGGTTCCGAGCAACCTAGCGCCATCGTGTAGATCAGTGGGTGGTTCCGAGCAACCTAGCGCCATCGTGTAGATCAGTGAGTGGTTCCGAGCAACCTAGCGCCATCGCGTGGGTCAGTGGGTGGTTCCGAGCAACCTAGCGCCATCGCGTAGATCAGTGAGTGTTTCCGAGCAACCTAGCGCCATCGTGTAGATCAGTGAGTGGTTCCGAGCAACCTAGCGCCATCGCGTAGGTCAGTGAGTGGTTCCGAGTGATCTAGCGCCATCGTGCAGTTCAGTGAGTGTTTCCGAGCAACCTAGCGCCAGCACGTAGATCAGTGGTAGGTTCCGAGCAACCTAGCGCCATCGTGTAGATCAGTGAGTGGTTCCGAGCAACCTAGCGCCATCGTGTAGGTCAGTGGTAGGTTCCGAGCAACCTAGCGCCATCGTGTAGATCAGTGAGTGGTTCCGAGTGACCTAGCGCCATCGTGTAGATCAGTGAGTGGTTCCGAGCAACCTAGCGCCATCGCGTAGATCAGTGAGTGGTTCCGAGCGACCTAGCGCCATCGCGTAGATCAGTGAGTGGTTCCGAGTGGCCTAGCGCCATCGTGTAGATCAGTGGGTGGTTCCGAGCAACCTAGTGCCATCGTGTAGATCAGTGGGTGGTTCCAAGCAACCTAGCGCCATCGTGTAGATCAGTGGGTGTTTCCGAGCAACCTAGCGCCATCGCGTAGATCAGTGGGTGGTTCCGAGCAACCTAGCGCCATCGTGTAGATCAGTGAGTGGTTCCAAGCGACCTAGCGCCATCGTGTAGATCAGTGGGTGTTTCCGAGCAACCTAGTGCCATCGCGTAGATCAGTGGGTGTTTCCAAGCAACCTAGCGCCATCGTGTAGATCAGTGGGTGTTTCCGAGCAACCTAGCGCCATCGCGTAGATCAGTGGGTGGTTCAGAGCAACCTAGCGCCATCGTGTAGATCAGTGAGTGGTTCCAAGCGACCTAGCGCCATCGCGTAGATCAGTGGGTGGTTCCGAACAACCTAGCGCCATCGCGTAGGTCAGTGAGTGGTTCCAAGCGACCTAGCGCCATCGTGTAGATCAGTGGGTGGTTTACGTTCGTTGCTGCTTCATAAATAGGTGTTTTCCGATGGTGTTTGGTTTCTCAAAGTCACATGGGATTAAGCGTGACGCCGTGGTTAAAGTTAAGTTTCTTAAAGTCACTTTGGATTAAGAATAATGTTTTGGTAAAGATTAACTTTCTCAAAGTCACTTTGAACTAAGCGGGATTCCGTTGGAGGGATCCAATATAGTTTTTTTTAGTTATATTATTTATTAAATACTAATCCTAAGTGCTTCATAAATTTGACTTTCTTTGTTTTTTTGTTGTTGAGTACACATTACATATCGCCGTATGAAATCAACGTTTAACCGTGTGTCCTTTCATTGACCATCAGATACACCCGGATTGCTACATTCTTTCGATGTCATTGGTGTCATTGGCACAGACGAGAGCCACACCACAATTCCAGTCTCACATTTGCTTGGTGGCTTTGGAATACCAGTCGTCAGCTTTTGGGCAGACGATGACATGCTAAGTGATAAGGTAGGGGGGAAATGTTAACAAGGTGATGACATGCTAAGGATAAGGTAGGGGGAAAATGTTAGCAAGGGGATGACATGCTAAGGATAAGGTAGGGGGAAAATGTTAACAAGGGGATGACATGCTAAGTATTAGGTAGGGGGAAAATGTTAACAAGGTGATGACATGCTAAGGATAAGGTAGGGGGAAAATGTTAACAAGGTGATGACATGCTAAGGGATAAGGTAGGGGGAAAATGTTAACAAGGTGATGACATGCTAAGGGATAAGGTAGGGGGAAAATGTAAACAAAACTTTTTTTTTCTATTTAGTATTCAAAGTTGAAGAAAGTGATTTACATATATAAGCTAAGTTATGTTTTGTTAGGTGCCTTTCTGAGTAAGGACTTAAAAACTAATTAAAAAGACCCACAGAAATTTTGGATTTAATATTATCTTTGAAATTCACAGATCATTTACACAAAAAAGGAATTAATTTAAAACAATATGGAAATAAATAACATTTTCTTTTAAAAATCAGATAATTATAATAAAACGAACTCATTTTTTTTAGTAAAACAGAGCATCTTGTCCTTAAACACCTAAATGTTCAACTTCCGGGAGTTCCTAATTCATTTTTATTTTTTTTCTGAACTTAATTCATGTAAGTTGAGTTGAGCTAATTCAAACAGAACCCAAAAACATAATGTAAAAACAAAATAGCATACTCGATGCAAATCATCATTTACTTTCTTTCAATTTCATGGTGTCGTCCTTCAATCCTTGCTCACACAGTCAAATCATGACAGCGAAGAATGACGTTATTTAGTTATCAAACTATGACATCCACAAATAACGCCATCAAACCATGAAAGCGACCAATATAAAGCGCCCCCACCCCCTTAGCGGTTGTACCCCATATTGAACCATACAAAGTTATTTACAAACCAAGGCTCTTAGCAACTATTTCTCGATTTCTTCTTCTGATTTTTGAGGTAGAATTTATGACACGCATGGAGCTTACAAGTGAGGACACAAGACGTATTTCTCACACGCGCGCAGTCAACTTAAAACTGATTTTCTAATTTGATCGTCTGCTAATTTCTTTTCCTTCTTCTTTTTGTTTGTTTTTCTGAAAAGGATGCTCACCCCACTTTTATTCGAGTGATTCCCCCTGACACCTACCACATCAAGGCTCTCCTCTACTTCCTGAAAATGAACAGGTGGTTCCATTACTCCGTGCTGGTCGAGGATGACGAGCAGGGCCGGTCTTCCCTCAAAGTGCTCAGGGGTTACGCCAGCAAGTATGGCATGTGCATCTGCACCATCATCAAAGTCTCAGAGCTGGCAGACTACGAGAGCACGATCCAAACGCTCCTCGGGTGCAGCGCCAAGGTCGTCGTGGTCATGATATCAAAGGAATCCGCCAAAGTTCTCGTAGACGCGATCGAGTCGTACGGGGCCGCGGGCAAGCTCCTGTGGATTGGCAACGACAACTGGTTGGAGCACATGTATTTCACCAAGCCCATGGAAGGACTCATAGTCGTATCCCCAAGCTCAATCGACCTCCCGGGTTTTGTTGACTACTACAAACAGTTGGGTATCACAAACAAAAATCCGTGGTTCAGGAAGGCTTTTGAAATTCTGCTGGAGTGTACAAACAACGCTTGCATGCGGAAATACTTGTCAATAGTCGCCGGAAAGCTGACACTGTCCAACGCTGATATTTATGACTCGGTAATGATTTACGCCAGAGCTTTACACACGATGCTTCACGAGAAATGCCCGAAATTTGTTTCTCAGGGCAACACTTCGGAAACAAAGAAATGCTTCAAAGCCAATTGGGTTACTTTGACGGCGTATCTCAAGAAAGTTAGCTTCAAAGGTGCATCGGGACACATATCGATAGACAGCAAAGGTAACAAGCTCTCAGAGATATACGTCTACCAGACAGTTAAAGACGACGTCATCGCCCAAGTGCCAAAAGAAGAAAAATTTGCCATTTACCACAATATGCCTTCCAAAGTGGTCAAAGTGGCCAAGTATGACATTCCGAACGATAAGATTTATCCACTGCACCAGATAACATACTCATCATTTAATTTTAATTTGCAAGAGCTTTTCATAGAAGCCAAATGTAAGGCCCCATGCGCAGCCAATGAGTACAAGCACTATATCCGGAAATGTTGCTGGATCTGCAAACGGTGCCAGGACAATGAGCGCGTCAGTGAGAACGACACTGCCTGCCAGAAATGCCCTTATTTGGAATGGCCGGCGATGAACAATCTCAAACTGAGTACATGCAAGGAGATAACGGCCGTGACCTTTGACTGGACGTCTCCAGTGACATTCTCACTACTTATCATGGCCGGCTTGGGCATCTTCATGGTGCTGTGCATACTCATAACCCTTTGGGTTATCTACAGGCCGAAAATGTTAGATTTTGGGAGTTTCTCGGTGAATATTGTCCAGCTGCTGGCCATCATCTGGGGCTATGTTGCTATCCCCATGCTCCTGCTGAGACCTTCCGTCTTGAATTGCAACGCCGGGCTTATCCTTTTCGAGATCAGCTTCAACGTAGTGTATTTGTCGTTGCTGATCCAATCCGTGGACGTCTACAGAAACTGTAGGAGAATCATCGAGCCGTATGAACTAGAGTACACCAGTACCCCGTATCAGATTGGCTTCATCATTGTGCTGCTCACTATTGAGGTAAGGGTCACTTATCCAATTTGTTTTATGGTTTAACTGTTAACTGTGCATTTAAGAACATTGGAAAATAACCGCACCCAACAGCAATAAACACAACATAAACATTCATTTCTTTTAGCTTCACTGTAAACAAAGGCTATGGCGTGTAATTTTGTTTCTTCCTGACAAGTTAATATACATAAGAAATACTAGAAATAAACCACTAAACAGTTGCGGCGGTATACCGCGAACTTCCCAGTATGCTTAGGTTACTTGATAAAATAAGCATTCAAGTAACGCACTTTATAAGTATCCCAATTAGTACCAACTTCTGGGAAATTTTATTTTGAGCACGGCGTTGCAGCCATGCATACACACCTAGAAAAGTATTATTTGTGATTTCATTGAACCGTTGCCAAGTCAGAAAGCATTCCTCTACTCGGCAGGGTCTCACCATGGCTTTCATACACTACCACTTCCCCATCATTCCACTGGAGTTTCAACCGGTGGCGAGCATCAAGTACGCGGAGCTCATCTGTGAGATCCCCACACCGCACATCATCGCCTTCCTCATCTTTAACGTCGGCGTTCTGCTGCTCTGCTCCATCTTCGCTCTCAAGTCCCAGAACGATCCGTACGGCTTACAGCAGAGCCGGCTGGTCGCCATGTTTGTAGTGCTGGCCATGATCATGTGGATCGCCTTCATGCCGGCGTACTTCACGTCAGTCCACAAGCAGATGCAGACGTACTTCCGCATCATGGCCATTTTATTCAACCATTCGAGTGCTCTGGTCGTCAACTTTTCCCCGTTCGTCTTTGGTCTCATCTACAAGAAGTACCCCGACAGCAGACGGCCGAGTTACCACAGTTCCTCACTGTCATCGGGTCACAGCGGAATGAGGAAAAAATCCACGTACCCCAGCCTTACCAGGCCCAAATACGAACACAGGAAGTCGACTGTAAAGTTTGAGGACAACCTGACGAGTTCTCACAAAATTTCCCCCCAACCCACAGATGGCTCAAGGGAAGCAGACGGCGAGGGGCCGTCAACGGCGGTATGAAGATTTTAATAGGCAATGATTTTATTAGGCAAATACACTAATAGGAAAATAATTCAATAGCCAATGATATAATAGGAAATCATTTTAATAGGTCATGATTTATATGGAATCTAATGCTACTGCTAGTTCGATGTGGGGATCGTGGGGTGTGGGGGGGGGGGTGTGGAAAAGAAGATCAGCTGAAAGAAAGGGAGAGAGAACGAAAGAAAGGGAGAGAGAACGAAAGAAAGGGAGAGGGAACGAAGGAAAGGGTGATAAATATGTTAAAGACATTTTTAAACCATATTATCGCAATTTTTAGAAAGAGGGCTTGAGAGAGTGTTTGTGAGTGAATGATTGAGGAGTGTGTGTGTGTGTGTGAGTGTGTGTGAGAGAGAGAGAGAGAGAGAAAGAGAGAGAGAGAGACATTTGGAGTATTATATTTGACTAAAATCTAACACATTCGTTTTAAAAAATTGCGGGTTTAGATCCCAGGGCTTAGATCCCAGGGTTCAGATCCCAGGGTTTAGATCCCAGGGTTTCGATCCCAGGGCTTAGATCGCAGGGCTTAGATCCCAGGGCTTAGTTCCCAGGGCTTAGATCCCAGGGCTTAGTTCCCAGGGCTTACATCCCAGGGTTTAGATCCCAGGGTTTAGATCCCAGGGTTTAGATGCCAGGGTTTAGATCCCAGGGTTTCGATCCCAGGGCTTAGATCACAGGGCTTAGATCCCAGGGCTTAGTTCCCAGGGCTTAGATCCCAGGGTTTAGATCCCAGGGTTTAGATCCGAGGGTTTCGATCCCAGGGCTTAGATCGCAGGACTTAGATCCCAGGGCTTAGTTCCCAGGGCTTAGATCCCAGGGCTTAGTTCCCAGGGCTTGGATCCCAGGGTTTAGATCCCAGGGTTTAGATCCAAGGGTTTAGATGCCAGGGTTTAGATCCCAGGGTTTCGATCCCAGGGCATAGATCGCAGGGCTTAGATCCAAGGGCTTAGTTCCCAGGGTTTAGATCCCAGGGATTAAATCCCAGGGTTTAGATCCCAGGGATTAGATCCCAGGGCTTAGATCGCAGGGCTTATATCGCAGGGCTTAGATCCCAGGGCTTAGTTCCCAGGGCTTAGATCCCAGGGTTTAGATCCCAGGGTTTAGATCACAGGGTTTAGATGCCAGGGTTTCGATCCCAGGGCTTAGATCCCAGTGTTTAGATCCCAGGATTTAGATCCCAGGGTTTCGATCCCAGGGTTTAGATCCCATAATTTAGATCCCAGGGTTTCAATCCCAGGGTTTAGATCCCAGGGTTTAGATCCCAGGGCTTAGATCGCAGGGCTTAGTTCCCAGGGCTTAGTTCCCAGGGCTTAGATCCCAGGGTTTAGATCCCAGGGTTTAGATCCCAGGGTTTAGATCCCAGGGTTTAGATCGCAGGGTTTAGATGCCAGGGTTTAGATCGCAGGGTTTAGATGCCAGGGTTTAGATCCCAGGGTTTAGATGCCAGGGTTTAGATCGCAGGGGTTTAGATGCCAGGGTTTAGATCGCAGTGCTTGGATCCCAGGGTTTAGATCCCAGGGTTTAGATCCCAGGGCTTAGATTCCAGGGTTTAGATCGCAGGGCTTAGATCCCAGGGTTTATATCCCAGGGTTTAGATCACAGGGCTTAGATCCAAGGGTTTAGATCGCAGGGTTTAGATCCCAGGGTTTAGATCGAAGGGTTTAAATCACAAGGCTTAGATCCCTGGGTTTAGATCCCTGGGCTTAGATCCCAGGACTTAGATCCCTGGGCTTAAATCCCAGGGCTTAGATCGCAGGGTTTAGATCACAAGGCGTAGATCACATGGCTTAGATCGCAGGGCTTAGATCCCAGGACTTGGATTCATGGGCTTAGATCACAGGGCTTAGATCGCAGGATTTAGATCACAAGGCTTAGATCACATGGCTTAGATCCCAGGGCTTAGATCGCAGGGCTTAAATCGCACTGTTTAGATCACAGGGCTTAAATCATTGGGCTTAGATCCCTGGGCTAGATCCCAGGACTTAGATCACAGGGCTTAGATCACATGGCCTAGATCCATGGGCTTAGATCGCAGGATTTAGATCGCAGGGCTTAGATCCAAGGGTTTAGATCGCAGGGTTTAGATCCCAGGGTTTAGATCGAAGGGTTAAAATCACAAGGCTTAGATCCATGGGCTTAGATCGCAGGATTTAGATCGCAGGATTTAGATCGCCCTGCTTAGATCCATGGGCTTAGATCGCAGGGTTTAGATCCCAGGGTTTAGATCGAAGGGTTTAAATCACAAGGCTTAGATCCTAGGGCTTAGATCCCTGGGTTTAGATCCCTGGGCTTAGATCCCAGGACTTAGATCCCTGGGCTTAAATCCCAGGGCTTAGATCCCTGGGCTTAAATCCCAGGGCTAGATCCCAGGACTTAGATCACAGGGCTTAGATCACATGGCTTAGATCCATGGGCTTAGATCGCAGGATTTAGATAACAGGGCTAAGATCACAGGGCTTAGATCACAGGGCTTAGATCATAGGCCTTAGATCATAGGGCTTAGATCATAGGGCTTAGATCATAGGGCTTAGATCATAGGGCTTAGATCATAGGGCTTAGATCATAGGGCTTAGATCATAGGGCTTAGATCATAGGGCTTCCTCTCAAATAATTCCTTCTATGGTCGGTCTTCGTTTAATTCTAATCAAACAGTTAACATTTGAGGCATTCACTTGTAAGAAAACATTACGCACCGTGCCAATGTCTCATCTCCAAATCTAGGGTTCAAGGATGGAGTTCACTTTTAGCGTTCTTTTTTCAAATAAGCGTTTCATTGTTTGAACATTTCAAACAAGTTTTTCGTTACTGAACATTTTAAAATAAGTTTTTCGTTAGTTGACTATGTAATATTTGCATGTCGCTCTGTGGCAATTTACAATCTGCGTTTCAGAAGTGGCGGTTATCTATTTCTTCGGCTCTAGTTAAGCTTGTTGTTTGTTACTGCATTCATTAGTTAACACATTTAGTTGCAATTATTATGTGTCTTCATAATTGAAAAAAAAAATGTTTTCTCAGATTTGTTGATTATTATTATTCAGTGTAACTTTGCGACTTTTGGTTTGAAATGACCAATCGAATGCGCCAAATTATTTCATTCCTGTGTGTGTTTGCGTGTGTAGATAGAAGGTCCGGGGGTTGAAATTTTATGGAGACTCAGCATTTTTTTCCGGCTTTTTTTAGGTTAAATACCGAAATACAAATACGATTTATAAACAGGTTGGCACCAATATAATTTAAATAGTTTCGATTTAAAAAAAAAATGTGTCTATGAAAGATTAACAAGATTTGTATAGGAAAAATTTGAATGTTTGTATAGGAAAGATTTGAAATTTTTGTATAGGAATGATTTAAAAGTTATTACAGGAAAAGTTTGCTAGTTTTTTGACGAACAAGAATAATGTCTCGACACGTTTGCTTGTCCGGCTGTCAAAATCAGTTACATGGGTTAGATGTGTACGCGCTTCACACATCCGACAGTGCAGTTTTTTCAAATCTCTGCCTTGTTTCTTCATTGACAGGAAGGCCCGTGACCTAGACTGCCGGTATGAACAGTTAGAGTAGCCACAGTTTCAAACAGTTGCGCGCTGCTGATTAACGTGATGGCCAAACCGTGGTAGTCGTCGGGCAGTGTGGCGTGCCTTTGAACGAGTGCAGCTCGCTGGTGCGGGCGTTGACATCTGTATAAACAATTAATGGCCGGCTATAGCAACAAAAAACAAAAAAACTATTGAGCTAGAATGTCAGGTTTTGACATGTTCTGCCCACCGTAGCCCAAGTAAATTAGAACAAAAAAGATTGTGACAATCAATTCAAGGTCGGAGGAGCTTATTTCCGTTCCAAGTGGTTCAGCAACCACGACTTCGTGTTTCTAAGGAAATAATAATTATTGTTTGTATAGTTGGATTATTTCAGTTAAAAAAAAATTGTTGTAAATTAGATGGTTACTATCTCGCAAAATAAGTTCACATTGTTGGTTCATGACAGTTGGAGTTTGGGTCACACATCTTGTTGGTTCATGACGCTTGGAGTTTGGCTCACACATCTTGTTGGTTCATGACGGTTGGAGTTTGGCTCACACATCTTGTTGGTTCATGACGCTTGGAGTTTAGCTCACACATCTTGTTGGTTCATGACGGTTGGAGTTTGGCTCACACATCTTGTTGGTTCATGACGGTTGGAGCTTGGCTCACACATCTTGTTGGTTCATGACGCGTACAGTTTGCCTCACACATCTTGTTGGTTCATGACGCGTACAGTTTGCCTCACACATCTTGTTGGTTCATGACGCGTACAGTTTGCCTCACACATCTTGTTGGTTCATGACGTGTACAGTTTGCCTTACACATCTTGTTGAGTGAGAAACAAGCTAAAATGTAACAGATATATTCAATTTAACGGCGCACGACATGGCATCAAATTAACGGCACAGGACATGACATGACATCAAATTAGTGGTACATGACATGACATGACATCAAATTAACGGCACATTACATGACAGGACATCAAATTAACGTACCATGAAGTCAAATTTAGAGTACAGTACATGACGTCAAATTAAGAGTACAGAGCATGACATAAAATTAATGGTACAGGACGTGACGTCAAATTAAGAGCACAGGACATGACGTCAAGTGAACGGTACAGGACGTGACGTCAAGTCAACGATACATGCCATGAGGTCAAATTAAGAGTACAGGCAATGACGTCAAAGTAACGGTATAGGACACGACGTCAAATTAACGGCACATGACATGACATCAAATTAACGTACCATGAGGTCAAATTAAGAGTACATGACATGACATCAAACTAATGGTACAGGACGTGACGTGAAATTAAAGGTATTGGACGGGACGTCAAATTAAGAGTACAGGACATGACGTCAAGTGAACGGTACAGGACGTGACGTCACGTCATCGCTATAGGACATGACGTCAAATTAATGGAACATAACATGAAATCTGATTAACATGATGTCAAATGAACGTTTA